GTCAGGCCCCCGCTGACCTCACAGCGCCTGTTCCCCCTCGGGCTGGGGCCACACCGGGCTCCCCGAGGGCCACCACAGGAGGGCACTGCCCAGGGGCTGTAAAACGGCTCCACACGTTCCAGCCCCACGGCAGCCACAGCCTCCCTGCCACCTGCAGAATCCGGCCCCACCAAGCCTGCGGTGTGACACCACAGCGACCATCAGCACGGGTCCTTCCGAAGTGAAGTCCATGCCCACCCAGTCCTTCAGGCCTCGGACAGCAGCAGGCCCGGCGCCAGCCCTCACCCCATGGCCCGGAGAGGGCCCGGAGCGGGACAGGGCCTGCAGCCGGGGCGGCTCAACGTGTCCTCGGTGCACCTGAGCGCACCCTGCAGGGGAGGCAGGTCCCCCGCTCAGGCCCAGGGCCCCGCCTCCGGAAGGGGGACGGGTACCCGCTGAGCACCACACATGGGGCCTTGCCGTCCTCCGTGGCCTCGCTGAAGTGGTCGAAATGCGCAGAAAAGCCACGTCCGGCACTGTCTTCCTTCAGGTTCCCAGCGGGGGCCTCAGACGTGGGTCCTGGAGCTCGGTCGGCGCGGCAGCCCGAAGACCATCCCGGGAGCGCGCACAGCTGGCCCCTGGCACCCACGGGGCGGACGTTTCCTCCAAGAGGGCCCTGCCCCCGCCTGAGCCCTCTCGTGGGGGCAGCGAAGCCGCTCAATGCCCTCCTCTCTCTTCCACCCCCAGGTGTCTGCTGGACGCAGATGGCAGACCCTTCCCTAGGGGCCCCTGCCCCCCCGCCCCTGGCCGCGCGCCCTCCGACCCGCGGTGGCCTGTCCCCCCCCCTGCCCGGTGTGGCCTCCCCTGCCCGACGGCGCAGGGGCCGGAGGGGCCGGCGGTCGCGCTGCCCAGGAGCAGATCAGCCGCTGTCACACGCACAGTGGGTCCGGAGCAGCGCAGTGTGCGGTGGGCAGTGGCTGCCCTGCGCCCGGAGGGACGCCGGGCGGGCGGAGGAGTCGTCCCGCACCCCAGCCCTCCTTCCCCTCCCACCTGGGCGTCCGAGCCCCGGCCGCTGGCCAGGGCGGGCGGCTGGTGGGATGCGCCCCGCGCGCCGGCCCGGGACCCCGGCGCGTCCCCCGCACCCCCGGGCGGGACGGGGGCGGCTCTCCACGCAACTTCGGCTGCGGCCGCGGCCCCTCTGCGCCCCCCAGCCCCGCGCCCGCGCCCCGCGCCCGGCCCGTATGCAAATGAGGGAGCCCCGCAGCCAATGGCCGGCCGGGCCGGGCCCGTCCTGCCGCGCCGCAGCCAGTGGGAGCGAGGCGGGCGCGGACGCCACGCCCACCGCCGCGCGGCCCCTCGCGGGCGCGGCCGGCGCGTTCCTTTCCGCACGTCGGCCTCGGGGCGGGGCGCCACCTGCCGGGCGGGGCCTGGGCCGGCCCCTCCCCGCGGCCGCCGCCGCCGCCGCGCAGGGCCCGCCGCCCGGCACCCGCGGGGCTCGGCGCACGTAGCCGGCCGCGGCCGGGGGCCCAGGAGGGGCCTCGGCTTCGGGACACACGTTCTGCCCGCGTCGCCCGCGCCCATCGCTGGGGTCTGGCTGGCGGGAGGGGTCACTCAGTCTGCGGTCGTTGGTTGCAGAGGCCCCGGACTCTGCCTCCGCCCGGTGTGTCCGCACACCCCGCGGCCGGCCCGGGGCGCCGGGACCCCTCCCGTGGGATCCGGTGGGAAGGCTGGGAGTCCGGAGCGCGGGCCCAGGGTCCGGCCGGGCATGGAGAGGAGTAATCAGGGGAGTTGGTGACTCCTCCAGGGGCCCCCAAGGGGGCCGCCAAGGGACAGTGGGCCCTGGCCCCTTCTCTTCCCACTCCCTCGTGCCCCCGTGGCCCCGGGGTCCCGAGGCAGAACCAGGTCATCCAGACCCTTGCTGGGCAGAGGCGCCTGCTCCCCTTTCCTTCCTGGTACAGGGAGTCCCCGTAAGCTTTGGGTGCCCCCTCCACAGTCAGCAAGAGTTCCCCCACCTCCCTCAAACCAACCAGAGCCCCCCTCTCCTGGCTCCAGGAAGCTCCAAGGTCCTCCCGGCTGGCTCTCCATTGGCACCACGGTCCTTGGCCCAGGACGAGGGCCCCAGCCACCCTGGCCATCTGGCTGCCCTCCTCCCGCCCTCCTGCCTCCAACGGACAGCCCCCTCCTGGGCCTCCCTGCCCCGGTGACTAGTCTGCATCCCCCGTCAGTCGGGGCTCAGCTGCACAAACCCAGCAAGGCCCCTGCTGCCCCTTCCACCTTCACAGGCACTTTTTATTTATTTTTTTTATTAAATATTTATTTTATTGATTTCAGAGAGGGAGAGGGAGAGAGAAACATCAGTGATGAGAGAGAATCATTGATTGGCTGCCTCTTGCATGCCCCCTACTGGAGATCCAGCCACAACCCAGGCATGTGACCTTGGCCAAAATCGAACCCCGGACCTTGCAATCGGCAGGCTGACACTCTATCTACTGAGCAACACCAGCCAGGGCCACAGTCACTTTATTTCTTCCCTCGAGACTGGCGCCTGGTGGCTCAGCGCTGGGACCTCAGGAGGGTGCGGGCGGGTGCAGGGTGCTGTGGGTGTGGCCACCTGTGGGTGGGGAAGGAGCGCAGGGCGATGAGTGGACCGCTCTAGAGGGTCAGAAGTTCAGGGCCACCACGGCCTGGATCCCCTGGGCCCCGGAGGAGGCCCACCCTTCAGACAGGGCAAAGGTTCAGAGGGAAGGAGTCTGGGCTGCAGGACACGGAGAGGCCGGAAGTCAGGGTGACTCCCGTTTCAATCTTGCCCTGTTGGTGCAACCCCAGCTGTGCCCCCAGTCCCGGCAGTTCCAAACGCACCGTAACGCGCCCAGTGGGCTCAGGGGTGGTCCCTCAGAAAGATATGTTCGGCCTGTCCGGTGGCTCAGTGCCTGAGCGTGGACCCTGGCACCAGAGGTCAAGGTTCAATGTTGGGGTTGCAGCCCATCCCCCGTAGGGGGCGTGCAGGAGGCAGCTGATGGATATTTCTCTGTCATCCGTGTTTCTATCTCTCCTTCTCCCTTCCCCTCTCTAAAAATATATAAAAGTACATATGTATATGTTCTTTTATTGATTTCAGAGAGAAAGGGAGAGGGAGGCAGACACATCAATGATGAGAATCACTGATTGGCAGTCTCCGCTCTGGGGATCAAGCCTGCAACCCAGGCACATGCCTGCAGCCAGAATCAAACCAATCCACAGGCCGTCACTCTATCCATGGAGCCAAACCAACCAGGGGGGAGAGTGTATTTTCAGAAAGACACGTCCCGTCCTAATGCCTAGACGCTGTGAATGTGGCCAACTGGGAAGGGGTCTCTCCATTCAGCCCGGGGTTTTGAGGTGAGGTCACCCTGAGGGCCCGGCAGGCCTAAGTCCTGTCCTCGGGCAGGTGAGGCAGACACCCAGGCAGAGGCCGGTGAAGGCAGAGGCAGAGCCTGGGGCACCAGAGGAGGCCAGGGGAGCCCGGGGCACCCACACCAGAAGGACAGGCGGGGTTCTCCTTACAGACGTGGGAGGAGCAGGCGCTGCCAGCCTTGACGCCAGCCGAGAGGCACTGCCGTGCCAGCCACCCTCTCCGGACCCTTCCCCTGGGGCCGAGAGAGGGGTCACTGCGGGGGTCCCCGCCTCTGGCCTCGTCCACTCTTCCTTTCTGCAAACTCCTCTCCAGACCCGGTAAGGATGCTCTTCTCTCTCCTAACAAAACGTAACTCAGCCCTCTGGTGGCCACTCCTCGCTACCTCCCCTGGCAAAACCACGGCAGACTTGGTGCTGGCTGTCCCGTTCCTCCGTTCCTCGCCTCTCACGCTTTTTGTTGTGGTCAGCCTCACCCAGGGAGATTTTCCCCACGGATTTTTAGGGAGTGGAAGGGAAGGGGGAAGCACACAGAGAGACACACACATCCATTGGGACTAAGCCTGCACCGAGGTACCTGTTCTTGACTGAAATAAAACCCATGACCCTTCAGCCAGCAGGCTCTAACCACTGAGCCAGCCAATCTGGATAGGGCCCATTCTCTTTAACTCCCTCCAGCTCCCCACCCCTAGGGCTGCCGTCCAGAGGGTCACCCGTGGCGGCCACCTGGCTCCACCAGGCCCAGTCCTGGCTGTGCTTCTCTGGCTGGCTTCCCAAGCCCAGCCCCTGAAAGAAAGTCTCTTCTGGGATGTCCCAAGCATGTCCTCGGGTTCCCTCAGGGCCTGCCCTGAGCATGGCTCCCATCTTGACCTGGGCCAGGACGGTCCCTGAAGGGGGTCACAGAAGTGGCCCACTCTCACCGCTCCAGCCTCTCCCTCGGGGTTCCTATAAGCAAGTGCATGTCCTGCTGGGCCCCCCCAGCTCCCCAGAGCCCCTGGCCCTGCAGGCCGGCCTCTCCGCCACTCGGCGCACCGGCCCAGCCCGCAGCCGTCCGCCCGGCCAGCCCTGTCCGCTCGCGCAGCCCTCCGCCGAGGTCAAGTCCAGCCTCAACCCCTCGCTGCGCCCGGGGCCACCTGCTGATCGGCCACAGCGCGAGCCCGTTGGTCCCACAGCACGCGGGGCACAGGCACAGCGCCCGCAGCGCTGGTGTGCACCGGGCCGGGCCCGCGCCGGCGTGTCCTCGCCAGAGTCGCGCACCGAGGGCTCGTCCCGGCTCCGTCCGCGAGGGAACCAGGCGCGAAGCTGCCGGACGCCGCGGCTGCTTGCGGGGGCGGGGCCTCCTGGCGGGGGCGGGGCCCAGGTGAGCGGACGGCCGCTCCCATTCGCTCTGGGCGGCGGGCGCGGGTCGGACTGTACCATTTCCCAGTGGGGGGGAGACCCGGGACGACCCAGCGGCGGGGGCGCGGACACCTCAAGCTATCCCCGGACCCGGGCCTCGGGGCGTGCATCCTCAACCACACAGTGTTTCCAGCGCCCCGCGGCCCGCGACCGCGAGGAACGGCCTCCTCCTCCGCTTCAGGCCTCTCTTGCGCTCCCTCGTCTGTGGTTCCCGCCAACGGGCGGGGCGGGAGGGACCCGGAAGTCGGCTCGTGCCCTTCCGGGTCGAGGGGCGCGCGGCAGCGGCGGCGGCTGCGGCGGCCCGGCCTAATCGAGGCTCTCGGTCTGGTAGCGGCGAGCGCCCGGGAGCGGCCGGCAGGGCTCGAGGTTCCCGGGTACGTGCGGGGGCGGCGCCGGCCCCAGGGTCCCTGCCGCGTCCGGGCCGCGCGGTGGTTCCCGGGCGCCGCGCGCTTTGTCTGCGGCCTGCCGGCCGGAGCGAGGCCTGCGTCCCGGGCGGGCGGGCGGCGGCGACGGGGAGGCCTCGCCCCGGGGCTGGGGCGCCCCGCGGCCTGCGGGCGCGTTTCCGGGGTGCCGCCTTCCTGCCCGGGCCGCGGGGAGCCCACCCGCCCCCGCCCCTTCCTGTGACTCCCCGCCCCCGCGACTCCCACCTGCCGTCCCCTTGGAGCGAGCCGTGACCCGCCGCCAACTCGTTTCCAGCTCCCGGCCCACGTCGCTGCGTCGGCCGCGCCTGCGTCGGGCAGGCCGGTGCGGCCAGGGGACGGTCTCGTCCTGAAGTCGTAGTTGGCGACAGTCTTTCGGGAGGAGGTGGGATCGCCTTGAGCCCGGAGAGGTTGGGGAGCCCCCAGTGCTCCCCGCAGCTGGGAGTTCAGACTCTGCTGGTCTGTCCAGCAGCTGAAGGGGGACCTGCCCGGTGACCCACAGAACCTGAGGCTCGGGTGAGGTTTGACGTGGGGTTCAGCACGTCTCCCCTCTCTCGGCTGCAGGAATGTTGAGTCGGGGCTGTCCCTTCTGGCCTGTTCCCTGCACTGGGCGAGCCCCTGTGTGGCCCCTCGGTGGCATCTTAGCTTTCTGGAGTTCAGGGCAGGTAGTTTCCCGGTCTCAGCCGCTGTGGCAGCGGCTGAATAAAGAACGGCCCACCACGCCCAGGCCTGGGCCCGTTCGGTCACCACCCACCGGAGGCTGTCCGTCCCCTGGCAATGGTCAGAACCGCAGGGCGCGTGGGTCCCTGAATTTGAAGAGCGGGGCAATTTCCTGCTTTAACTCCTGCCCCCCTGTACCCCAGAGCTGGAGGCTGAGCAGGAGAACCACAGAATGCTGCCGGCACCCTGGAGGGCCAGGGGCTTCCCTGCAGAAATGGCCTCTGGCCTGTGGGAGCCAGGCCACTGTGGGGTCCCTGGCTGGGGTCTTCCTTGGCACAGGTGTAGGTGCTGCTCCGGAAAGTTCCTTTGGAGGCTCCCGGGGTCCTTTCCCGGGGTGCAGCCAGCATGCACTGTCGTGTGATGATGCAGGCAGGGGTGCAGCCTCAGGGCCTGGCCCCCCTGCCCGGGTGCAGGCGTGTGCAGAGGCCTTTGGAGGGACAGCTAGGCCCTCCCCGAGGTCAGACGCCTTCCCTGGCATTTCTGGCAAGCCCTGTGTGCCAAACCCAGCATGGCCTCCTTGCCAGGGCCCCTGCCAGGCAGGCCCAGGTCTCGGCGCCCCAGGGGAGAAGCCAGGTGCTCTCGGCAATGCTTTGCCTTAGTGGCTGTGAAGCATGGCCGCGGGTGAGGACCTGCCCTGCTCTGGGCTCTGTGCCCGCAGGTTAGTCCTGGCGCCTGTGGCCAGTGCGCACTCCTGATGGGCCGTGGCCCTGCCACCTTCGGGTCCGTGGTCTTCAGCACAGGTCGTGGCCAGGACGTGGGCACAGGAGGCAGGGTCCTGCTGCACTGCCGGGCACCCAGCTCTCGGCGGGGCGGGGCTGGGTTTCTTAACGGGGGGCCACTCGTGGACTTTCGGGCTGACAGGTCCACCAGACCCTCTGGGGTCGCTGGTCCCAGGAACCCACACCATTTGGCCATTGGCAGTTTCGCCACATTCAGCGCCTCGCTGCCGTCCTGGAGTCTGGAGCTTGGTGTGGGGAGTGGGCTGCTGTGTGAACTGGCCATGGCCCCACTGGGCTTGTCCCTGGGAGCTCTGTGTGGTGGTAGCCCCACCCACCGCCTGCGCCCTGCCGTCTGCACCCATCATGGCCGCCTCGTCCCTGAGCACGAGGGCCTTTGGCTCCTGGCTGGGCACTCTGCGGCCCCCCCTTGCTTGGTGCTTCTGCCTCTGGAGAAGGCCAGGAAGCTGCCTGGGAGGACGCGCACTCCTGGCCTGAGTGGCTCCCTCAGAGAAGGAACCTCATTCGGGGACCTGCGCTGGAGGCTGTGGTGTGGGACGGAGAGTGTCTTGATGCACTCAGGCCCTCTGTCTGGGTCTGTGCTGTCCGTGCAGAGGCCTTGCGGAGGTCCCACAGGCTCCCCCTCGGAGGTCAGGAGCCCGAGGGGGTGGACACGGTGGCTGAGGGGCGGAGCCTGGCTTCCATGGTCCCTGATACCCCCGGACGTTCTGGGTGAGCGGGGGGTCCGAAGCAGAGGCCGCTGGCAGCCCTTGGCTGAGTGGGACCTGCCTGGGGGCGCCCTGCTGCCTCAGCTCCTGACAGGCCACTTCCTCCCAGTGACACCTGCTGCCACGGGGGGAGGGTCCGCCTGAGCGCGGTGGCACCGAAGCTGCCTGCCCCCGTACACAGCCGTTCTCGCCCGGCTCGGCCTCCGCGCCTCCTGTCCTGCAGGGGCCGCGTCCAAGGTTGACGGCTGGTGTCTTCCTCAGGCCGAACCCCATGTCCCGCGATGGATGAGGACAGCCTGGATGAGCTGGTGGACCGCAGCCTGGGGCGCAGCGCTGCCCCCGAGGCCAGTGATGCCGGTGAGCCCCCCCCCACTCCTGCCAGAGCCGAGGGCGGGCTCAAGGCCGGCACCGTCACCAGGACACGGGCTCCAGGAGAGCTGAGCGCCCCTCCGCCCACTCGGCCCCTGGCTCAGTTGGAGCCTTATCCCTACGCCAAGGTTCAGTTCCATCTCCCTGGGATGTTTCTTTCTTTTTTTGTAGTAAAAGCGCTTCTTAAGATCTCAAATTAGGCATCGTATCTAACAAATCCCGCCAGGAGAAAGGCAGGTCTGTCCCAGTGGGGAAACCCTGTCGCTCAGAAGGGTTTTGCAAGCACATGAGTGATGTCAGAGGTTGTGGGGAGGGAATGGGAGCCACACTGGATAAAAGCCGTTTCTGGAACAATCCAGTGAGCAAGAAAGGGCAGAGCCTTTCAGGCTGCAGGGGGTGGGGGTGAGGTGCAGCTGCCCAGCCAGGTCTCCAGTCCCTCTTTCCTCCTCTGCCTGCAGGTCCAATCCTGACCCGCTGGTGCTGGAAACCAGCAGTTCCTCCCTGGGATGTCCCCCCCCCCCCATCCCTCTCTCTCTCCCCCCTCCCTCCCCTCCCCATCCCTCCCTCCCTCTTTAAAATGATTAGACAGAAAAGCTGAGTTCCCTTTTGGCCATTGTCTGAGTGATGTCTGCAGGACTCTGTTTAAATTGCAGAAGTGGTACATTCTTTTGTCTTATTTTCATTTTTTAAAATGTTTTTTTTTTTTTTTTTTTAAATATATTTTTATTGATTTTGTACAGAGAGGAAGGGAGAGAGATAGAGTTAGAAACATCGATGAGAGAGAGTCATCGATCAGCTGCCTCTTGCACACCCCCTACTGGGGATATGCCCGCAACCAAGGTACATGCCCTTGACCGGAATCGAACCCGGGACCCTTCAGTCCCCAAGCCGACGCTCTATCCATTGAGCCAAACCGGTCTTGGCCATTTTTTAAAATGTTTTAAAATAACCTTTATCGTTGAGTATTATTTCTAACGTAAGCAATACAGATGGAATAGAGCAAAGGGGCTTTGCTTTTCCTACTCCTGTTCTTCCCAGCCCCACGTCCCCACCCTGCCAGCAGCTGCTGCCCCCTCCCCCCGACTGCCTATGCCCCCTCCTGCCTCGGTGACTGCGGCTGTTTGTCCTGTCTTGGTCCTAGAGGAAAGCAGTGACGGTGCCAGTGGGGGCTCTGAGGACACGGACAGTGAGCTCGGCGACGGCTCCGATGGCGAGGAGGAGGGGGACCCGGAGGACAGATCTGGTGAGCGCTGCCTCGGAGCGGCTGCCGGTCTCCTCGCTGTGAGGGCTGCCGGTTCCAGACGGCCCCGGGGCCATTGCTGCTTGACCGCGCTGGCCGCTGAGGGGCAGTCCCCTGTGGGTGTCCTCCATGCCCACGGGTGACGGCTCCCTTCGGTGTGACACTTCCTTTCGTTGGGTGACGTGATTTTCTAGGACCAGAGATTACAATGTGCAAGAGCACAGAGCAGCCCTAACCGGCGTGGCTCAGTAGATAGAAAGTCCATCTGAGGACTTAAGGGCCCCAGGTTTGATTCCCGTCAAGGGCATGTACATTGGTTGCAGGCACATCCCCGGTGAGGGGTGTGCAGGAGGCGGCTGATCAATGTTTCTGACTCTATCTAAAATACGAAAAAAAATAAAAAGGAAAATGTTAAAAAACAAACGAAAAAAGAGCACGGAGCAGCAGGAAAGGCAGTTTCCAGGGAGACCACCTCCCGTGCCTCCTGCCAGAACAGAGTGCAGTGCCCCTCCAGGCCCGGGGTCTCGGTGGACGGAGCACGCCCTGCCCAACCTCCTGACCAGGTCCTCGCTGCTAGGGGCTCCTGCCTGTGCGCACTCGTTTTTTTAAATACTTTTTATTGAGATATACATATGTGTATATATTTCCCCTCCCACCCCGGGGGGGGTGGGGAGAGAGAGAAAACCTATGTTTGGCAGCTGCTTCCTGCATTCCCTCGAGTAGGGATCGAGCTAGTCTCCCTACTGGGGCCTGTGCCCTGACCGGGAATCGAACTAGTGACCTTTTGGTGCATGGGACGCCCTCCTCCAGGGCCACTGCTTGTTGGCAGAAGTCCGGTGCAGTGCAGGGCCGTGGTCTGGTTTCTGGCCGGCTGGTGGGCACTGTCATCGCTCCTGGCGGCATCCTCAGCCGCCCAGCAGGAGGGCTCAGGCCTCTGCAGCCGGCCAGGGAGAACCGCGCTTGGAGGGCTCGCCTGAGGCAGTTGACCCGGCCCGGGAACTGCTCTGCCAGGGCGGTAGCGAGGTGGGCACCGGCTGCCACGCACAGACGGTGACCGGTGGAGTCCTGGGACCCGCGAGGCGGCCACCCCACTGCTCTGTCCTCTGGGTGCACTGGGTATTGTTCTAGAGGCGCTTGGGGAGGGCAGAAAACTGACCACAGTGACTGCAACCGAGCGTCCCCTTACATCTCTGCCTCCGACCTGGGCGCTCGTGGTCCGCCCAGAGGGAGTGGGCCCCAGGGCAGTGTTGTCGGAAGGCGGCGGGCGGCTCTCACACTTGCCAGGAGGAGGAGGTGGGAGTGTGTGTTGTCGGGGGCGCTGGCCTGGGAGTTGGCCTCGTCATGCCCAGCCCGGAGGGTCTGACCGCTCGGGGCTGGAGCTGGGTGCTTCGCCGGTGCTGTGCTCCTCGGCGTCTCGGTCCCCGGCACAGCGGTCGCTCACATTGTCCTCTCTCTCTCTCTCTCTCTCTCTCTCTCTCTCTCTCTCTCTCCCTCTCTCGCTCTCTCCCTCTCTCTCTCTCTCTCTCTCTCTCCCCCCCCACCCCGAGGTTCCGAAGAGTCCGAGGACGATGACAGTGACGATGACGGGGAGGCGCTGGTGGCGGCCGACCCGCAGGGGCAGCTGGTGGCCAATGGCGTGGGCGATTCTGACGACGACGATGCGGAGAGCTGCCCCATCTGTCTCAACACGTTCAGGGACCAGGCTGTGGGGACGCCGGAGGGCTGCGCCCATTACTTCTGCCTGGACTGCATCCTGGAGTGGGCCAAGGTGAGGGCCGCCCCCGCCTCCTGTCGGAGGGCCCGCCCGGCCCGCCTCGGGGGGGCTGCTCTCCGCGGCACGGGTCCTGGAGGACGGGGCTGTGGGGGCTCAGGTGCGCAGTTCCCAGAGCCCAGCGCTCCACGGAGGAACGCCAAGCGAGAGCCACTCCTGGGTGCGGCGCTTTGTCCTCGGTGATGGCTACGCCGGACGTGGTCTGGGAACGGAGCCCGGGCTGTGGGCTTGGGTGGGCCAGGGGACAAGTGCCCGGTGGACACAGCGGCGCCTCTGGGCAGCTCAGTGCCGGCGGCCTCCTCACCCTCCGGGAGAGTGCCACAGGGGAGGACCCGGTGAGGCTCCCAGACGGCCCGGGAGGGACTTACAAGTGGACGGTGAGCACAGGAGCCGGCGGGACACCGCTGTGCGCACCACAGGCAACGGCCCTGCACAGCCCCTGGGGGCCCACCGGGTGGTGGAGCCGCCGGCCATGGGGTGGGCAGAGCCCAGTGCTGTGCCATGGCCTCCCCCAGTGAGGGGACTAGACCCGGGGACGGAGGACCAGCTGTGTCCGGCAGACGCGTCCGGGGGTGTGCGCAGCGGCTCTGCTTTCCCGCCGCAGAGAGCCAGCAGGGGGAGGCGCTGCGGCTGCCTGTGCGAGGCCGGGTGCAGCCCAGACCCCAGCGGGCATGTGGAGGTTCACAGTGACAAGCGCATGCGTTGTATACGGTGCACCTGGTAAAGGCGTTCTGTAGTGCTCACATGGGAGACGCTGTTGAGGCAAGATCGATCTCTGCAGCGTACCTGCTGAGGGGACGCTCTGCGCACTGAGGGAGCAGCCAAGGAGCATGGGCACAGAGAAGGGGCTCCCGCCCGGGGTGTCACCTGTCCCCTGTGTTCCCTTCACACCTGGGAGCGCCGTGAGCACACGCCGGGCTCTCTGCCCGCCTCTTCCTCCAGGCGGCAGCTCCACGTGGAGACATGGAGACGGAGACGCGTCTGGCGGGGTGCGAGGGCGCCTGCTTGTTCGAGGGGCGTTAGTGCAGGTGACCCGCAGGGTCCTGATCCCGTTCCTATTCTCACAGAATGCCAACTCCTGTCCCGTCGACCGGACTCTGTTTAAGTGCATTTGTATTCGAGCCCAATTTGGTGGAAAAGTCCTGAAGAAGGTGAGTGTCCACGCTGTGGAGCCCCCACCACCGTGTCCATGGCGCGGTCTGTCTGGTGGGAAAGCACGCATTCACACCGTCTTCCTGAGATGATGGGACTGGCCCCCGCTGTTTAGGAACCCACCAGATTGCCATTCGCAGCCGTGGGGAGGGTGCTGGGGGAGGGTGCGGGGGAGGGTGCGGGGGAGGTGCGGGGGAGGGTGCTGGGGGAGGGTGCGGGGGAGGGTGTAGGGGAGGGTGTAGGGGAGGGTGCGGGGGAGGGTGCGGGGGAGGGTGTAGGGGAGGGTGCGGGGGAGGTGCGGGGGAGGCAGGGGCGTGTCCACAGCATCGCAGGCCGGGCTGACACAGCAGCGAGGTTCCCTTGTCTCCATGGCCTTTTCGGAGCGGCAGTGGCAGTGCCTGCTGCCTGAGGCTGCTTTCCTGTCCTCACAGTTGCCCGGGGGTTGGGGGCTCCCCCGTGGCCCCGCTTGGTTTTCGGTTGAATCGCTTTTTCTTCTTGATAAACGACCTTGAAATGGTCCCCAAACACAGACCCCCGTGTGGGTGTGAGTCCCCAGCCTCTGGTGGGCCTGGGGGCATGGAGACACCTTTGGAAGCCGAGGGGGCGGCTCCGGCCGGCCCAGCAGCCTGGGGAGGGTGGGCGCCCCGTGCCCCGTGAGCAGCAGCCCTTCCTCCTCCAGGTGCCAGTGGAGAGCGCCCGGGCCCGAGAGGACGAGGACGACCCCACCTTCTGTGAGGTGTGCGGCCGCAGCGACCGCGAGGACCGCCTGCTGCTCTGCGATGGCTGCGATGCCGGGTGAGCTGACTCCTGGGCAGACGCCGGCACCTCGGGCGCCTCGGCACCTGCTCCGTGGCGCCCGGTGCGGCATGCGGCGCGGCCGCGTCTGACGGGCCCTTCACCCCGTAGGTACCACATGGAGTGCTTGGACCCCCCTCTCCAGGAGGTGCCCGTGGACGAGTGGTTCTGTCCGGGATGTGCCAGCCCCGGAGCTGCCGGCCTTCCTGCAGGTAGTGCCGCCGCCTCAGCAGCCACGTGCCCGGAGCGGGCCGTCCGGCATGGCCAGCCGGGGGCTCGGGGGGAGCGGGGCCCGGCTTCGGCCCTGCCAGTCCGGCAGCTGCACCAGCGGCCCAGCATCTCCGTTCTTCCCAGACGCGGACCCCGTGTCCGAGGAGGAGGTCTCTCTGCTCTTGGTCGACGTGGTGCCCACCGCCAGCCGGCTGCGGCCTCGTGAGGGGAGGACCCGGGCCATCGCCAGGACGCGGCAGAGTGAGCGTGTCCGAGCCACTGTGAACCGGAACCGCATGTCCACTGCCCGGAGCATCCAGGTGGGTGCTCTCCCCGGGGTGGGCACCGCCGGCCTCAGGGCAGGCTGCCCTGCAGCTGTGCCCTCCTGAGGGAGCATTGCTGGGCGGGGAGTGGTGCTCTCGGCACACGCTGCTGCCACCACGGCTCCCGGGGGGCCGCCTGCAGCCCATCCGGCCCCCATGTCCTGGGGGGTGGCTCCTGCTCCGTGGGCACCTGAGCCTGCCTGCCCTCCTCCTCCCCCACCTCCCCCTGAGCCTGCTTCCTGGGAGCCTGCCCTCCCCGGGCCGGTCCCCCTGGTCCAGGTTGGTGGGAAGCACCCACTGTCTGGAATCGAGAGGGTGATGCCAGCGGCCTGTGCCCACCAACTCCCCTGTGTGCAGCACGTTCCCAGGTACCTGATGTCTTCCCTGCTCGACGAGACTATCGAAGCCGTTGCCTCTGGTCTGAGCACAGCCGTGTATCAGCGCCCCACAACGCCGCGGGCCCCCGCCAAGCGGAGGAGGAAAGCAAGTAAGCCAGGCGCGGGGCTGGTTTGTCTGCGCCCAAGTTCCCGGGAGCCGCAGTCCGCACGGGGGTGTCAGAGCTCCGGGCCAGGGCACTGGGCTGTGCGGGGCTCACCCGCACCAGCCGCACATCAGGGTCTCCTCCCCCTCGGTGCACGGCTGGACAGACGGTGCCCTTCCCACCGGGGGCACCGTGGCAGCCACGGCTCCGGGCCAGCCTGGCATGTGCGGCCTCTCTGTGCAGCGGGCTGTTGGGCAGCTGGGAGCGGTCCTCGGTCACACTGGTTCTCGAGTTAGAATTCAGCATTGCGGCTCTCACTGCTCGTGTTGCCCGTGCGTGTCTTTTCTGATGCCACGAGCCCGGTTACGCTCCTGTCGTGTGTCTCACGGAGGGCAGGCTCTGAGTGGACGCTCCGGAGCTGCCCTCGTCCCCGTGAGCGTCTGCTGGGACGGGGCGTCCCCTGGGTGAGGTGGCAGGAGGCTGTGTGTGTCACACCTCGTTTGCTGTATCCGCTTGAGCGCTGGTTTGTTTGCTAAAGGGGTTCTGGCGGGGGTAGGTCAGGCTGCACTGTGGTCGGGCTGCAGAACAGGGCCCAGAGCCCGCTCCGTCCTCCCCGCTCAGCCTGGGCCCTCCCCCCTCGGCCCAGCCCCATCCTCCCCCCTCGGCCCGCTCTGTCCTCCCCCCTCGGCCCAGCCCCGTCCTCCCCGCTCAGCCTGGCCCCCTCGTCCGCACTCAGCCCGGCCCCCTCGTCCGCACCCAGCCCGGCCCGTCCTCCCCGTTCGGCCCGCCCCGTCCTCCCCGCTCGGCCCGGCCCTCGTCCGCACCCAGCACGTGCGCCGGTCCTCGCAGCGCCCTCTTCTCCGTGAGCGTGGGCCGCGCGCCTGGAACGGAGCGCATGGCGGTGCCCGGAGAGAGAGCAGCGTCCGGCGGGTTCCGGTGTGTCACAAAGGCCGTGTTCTAGAGCCAGGCTATGCGGGCCCGCGGCCGGCAGGGCTGCTGGTGTGCGGGCGTCTGCTGTGTGGACGTTCTGGTCAGCACTGCCTGCGCGCGTGCCGTCCCTGGCCCTGCTCGGGCTGGTTCTTGGGCCTGCGGGGGCGGGGGAGTGTCAGAGCTTCGGGCCAGGGCACTGGGGCCGTGCGGGGGCTCAGCACACCAGCCGCACAGCTTCAGGGTCTCCCGCCGGGCTGGGCCTCCGTGCACAGACCTCAGCCGCAGGGCTCACTCTGGGGTCAGCCCATTGTGAGCTCACGGGCCCCGTGTGCGGGTGGCGAGAGCGTGCGCCGGGGTCGGTCCCGCTGCCTTCCTGGCTCCCCCGCTGCCCGCTGAGGCTCCTGTGCCCTCAGTGCTGGGCTGCCGCTCCTCCCACTGAGCAGCCCTGGCAGCATCGAGCGCGGGCTCACGGGGTGGGGGGCCGTGAAGTGGGCGTGCTCTCTGGTCTCTGTCAGCCCCCGGCGGTGCGGAGCCAGGTCCTCGCTCGGCTCTCCGTCGGCTTGTTCCTCCGGATGGCACTCGGAGGCTGGCGGCGGTTCTCCCGGCCGGGCCGCCTGTGCACGACGCCCGCCCGGTGGGCACGGGGCCTCTGCACTGCAGTCCGTTTTCCCACTGAAGACGCAAGCGCGAGCGGGCGGTTTCCTGCTGAGCCTCAGCGGCCACCCTCGGGGGTGCCGCGGGCCCTGAGCACAGACTGGGTGTCTCTGCAGGACGACGGAGGAGAGTGCAGGGCAGGAAGAAGGCCCCGCCCGGCCCAGCCGCAAGGGGCAGGAGCTCGGGGACGAGGCCCAGGAGGCGCCAGGGCCGCGGGAAGAAGAGGAAAGGACAGAAGCTGAAGGTAGGGGCCCGGCCTTCCGGCGGAGCCACGTGGCGGGCGGGCATGTCGCCGCTGCACCGAGGGCAGCCGGCGGGCGTCCTGCGGCTGGGCTGGGGCAGCCCCGGGGCCGGGGCCTGGGCCTGTGGGGCAGGAGGCTCCCTGGCGATGGCTGGCTTCAGGGCCCGCGGGACAGGCTGTCTCGTCCTGGCCGAGGCCCCGGTCCACACGCACGGCCGGGACCTGCAGGGGCCTGTGGGCGTGGGGGTGGGCCTGCTGCTCTGGTCTGGCGTGGACTCGGCCGCCGCTGTTGCCAGCTCGCACCAGATCCATGCGTCTCACGTGGGCGGTTCTTTCCCTCCGAGGCCGCTCAGAGCGAAGTCACAGCTCGTGGGCGCATCGCACGGACACTGGGCCTCCGGAGGCCGACCCACGGGGCCTGCATCCCATCCGTGTGCCGGCCTGCGGACCCCTCCCTGGGGCTGATGCGCGCCGACATCGGCGCTGCCTCTCTCTCCGTCTTCGGAGACCCCTACGAGCTGGACCCTTTCGACAGGTGACTGGGGGCGGTGCCGCGGCACCTCTGCGGGTGAGGAGCAAGCTGCCCCCTCCCTTCCGCCTGTGCGGGCAGGTGGAGCCTGAGCGGCCACTGCCAAAGGAGGGAGGAGACTCCCGCTCAGGCCGCCTGCTGGGCACGGGCAGGGCTGGGGGCCGTGGCCTCGGGCATGGGTCACCGTCCCCTCGCTGGTGTCCTTCCAGCAGTGAAGAGCCGTCTGCCAGCCCCGCCTCCCCCCTGAGCGCCAAGAGGAGGGTCCTGTCCCGCTCAGCCCTGCGGTCTCACCAGCCGGTGGCCCGGCCGGTCTCCATGGGGCTCTCCAGGTGGGTCTGAGGGCCGCAGACTCCCCTCGGCCTCCTGTTGGGGAGCGAGGGCACGAGGCCACGGGGCAGGCCCATCAGCGGGGTGCTGGGTGGGGCCAGGCTGCTGGGCTGGACCTGTTCCAATCTGGGACCCTTGGGGCCAAGAAGCACCCTAACCCAGTGGTCGGCAAACTCATTAGTCAACAGAGCCAAATATCCACAGTACAACGATTGACATTTCTTTTGAGAGCCGAAAACCAACTTCTGCGCATGGGCCACGACGTTTCAATCGCACTGCACGTGCGCTCCCACACGTGGTATTTTGTGGAAGAGCCACACTCAAGGGGCCAAAGAGCCACATGTGGCTCCGAGCCGCAGTTTGCCGACCACTGTCCCAACCAAACCCACGATGGCAGAGCTGCTCCCCTGCGCGCTGGCCTGAATGCCCCGCTGATTTCCTCCTGGCCCCCGCTTGCAGGGGAGCGGCCGGGAGGGTCTCCCTCCTGGGGGGCCGGCGGGGCGGGCCGGGGGAGCGATGGCAGGGCTGGTCTGACCTGCAGGAGGAGCATTCCCGCCGCGGCACCCGAGCCGGACGTGGACGAGGCCCCAGTCCCCGACCTGCTGGGGAGCATCCTGTCGGGCCAGAGCCTCCTCCTGATGGACAGCGCGGACATCACCATCCACCGCGACGGCTCGCTCAGCGCCAAGCGGGCAGGTGAGACCGCTCTGCGTGGCCGGCTGCGTGGAGGGGCGGCGCGTTTCCCACGCAGCCGGCCACGGGGGAGGCTCCTCCCGTCTGCCCTCTGCTCTGAACAGCCTCACGAGCAGATCACTTGGGTGGAGACGGGGCGGCAGGCCCGAGGCCGCCCTGGGGCCTGTGTTCTCCGCCTGGGAGGCTGCATGCGGGCCCTCCGCTGACTTGGGTCTAGCTTGGTGGTGGGGTCCAGCATGGGGACTGGGTAGCCAGTAATGGCAGCGCTGCGGAGGCGGGCAGTCCTCTGTCCTACCTCCTGCCACTGCTGTCACTGGCTTGGGCACGTCATGATCCCACAGCAAGCCTCCAGCCCTATGCCCCCCCCCCAGGGCTCCCCCCCCACACACACACACACAGGGCTGCCCCTCCCTCGGGGGCGCCCCCCACACACAGGGCTGCCCCACCAGCGACACGTAGGAGGAGCTGGAGACGTACACGAGAAAGCCATGTGGTGAAGGCTAAGCGAGTCGTGGGGCTTTGGAAAGGAGGGGGCACCTGATGGCCGTTTCCTTTTTCTCTTTTAGCCCCGGTTTCTTCCCAGCGGCACTCAGTCGGTCTGTCCCGAGGGGGACAAGGCCCTGGGCCCCGGGACGGCCCCCAGCCCCCAGCACCGAGCTCAGGGCGCCCGGGCAGCCCGGGCTCGGGCAGTCGAGGCAGGTCCGCCCCGTCCCACGTCCCTGCGCTCGCCTCGGGCTCCGAGAGACTGGACTCCTCAGCGACCCCTCGGCCAGGCCAGGCCCAGAGCTCGTCCAACGTGAGCATTTCTGGCGTCAGACGGCGGGAGGGCCCACACCTCAGAGGCGACAGTGAGGGGCCCGGGGCTCCGGGATTCACATCTAGGATCTCAGACGGTGGCCCTGACGTGCCGGCCACCTGTGTGGTGCCGGGCCAGGCCCCGCGTCCAGCGCCGCGGAGAGCGGACATCTCCCAGCTCCCCCGGATACCAAAGATGCGGAGGGACGGCGGCGGCGGATGGGCAGACACGGCCCCCGCCCCCGCCCCCGCCCCCGCCGGCGGGCAACGCGGGGAGCTCCCCAGCGCCTGCATCAGCCGGCTCACAGGCAGGGAGGGCCCGGGACAGCCTGGCCTCGGGGCCCGGGCGGAGGGCTCGCCCCGGGGCAGGGGCCCCCAGGAGCCCAGCGTGCACTCGGGGGGCAGCGCCCAGACCCCTGCCCCGCTGGGGCCCTCGAGGGGGAAGGGCGGCAGCTCGACCTTCGAGAGCTTCCGGATCAATATCCCTGGGAACGCGGCGCACTCCGGCAGGCTCCCCGGCCCCGGCTTCTGCAACACCTTCCGGCCCGTGGACAGCCAGGCGCAGAGGAAAGAGAGCCCCGCCCCCCCCTGCTCCCTCCGGAAGACCAAGCAGCTCAAGAGCGAGATCTACGACCCCTTCAACCCCACGGGCTCCGACTCCAGCTCCGCCGGCAGCAGCCCCGAGCGCCTGGGCCCCGGCCTCCTGCCCTCGGAGATCACCCGCACCATCTCCATCGGCAGCCCCCGCGCCCCGCCCTCGCAGACCGTGCGCTGCGTCACCTCCTACACGGTGAAGGCGGTCTTCGGGGAGCCCGAGGCCGCCCAGGGGCCTTCCTCCGGCCCGCTCCGGCTGCGGGGCGAGGGGCCGGCCGGCGGCCTGGCCTCACCGGAGCCCTGGGGGGACGAGGACCGGCTGCCGCGCACCGCCTTCTTCGGGTCTGAGGCGCGGAGGGTGACCTGTGTGCCCGAGGAGGGGCCGGCCACGCCGCCGAGCACCCACCGCATCGTGGAGCTGCGGTCCCCGTCCCCGTCCCCGACCCCGTCCCGCTCCACGTCCAGCTCCCGCGGCAGAGAGACAGACCCGCAGGAGCCGGCCGCCGCCCCCGGGCCCGCGCCCGCCCACGCCTGCTCCGGCGACGGGAGCTCCAGGTCGCTGTCACCGCTGGGGGCTGAGGACCAGGCCAAGAGACCCCCCAAGGCCCGGGCTCGGAGGTCCTCCAGCGACCGCTCCAGCAGCCACGAGCGGGCCAAGCGGAGGAAGGCCAGGGACAGGAGCCGGGAGAGGAGGAGGGAGTCCCGGAGCCGGGGCCGGCGGCGCTCCGGCAGCCCTGGGAGCTCCGAGCACGCGCACCGCCAGAGCAGCAGGAGGCGGCGGCGGTCGGGGTCCAGGTCTCAGGGCAGGGGGTGCTCTCCCCCAAGCAGCATGGAGAGCGCCCGGCGGCCCCGCCGTCCCAGGGAGAGGAGCCGGGAGCGGCCCCGAGACAGGAGGGGCTCCCGGGAGAGGCGGCGGCACCAGTCCTGGTCGCCCAGCCCGGAGCACCGGTCCCGGGAGCACCGGAGGCCTCGCTCCCGGGAGAAGCGGCCCCGGCCCCGCTCCCGCTCCCGCTCCCCCGGCAGGAGGCTGCCCGCGACGGAGGCTTCCCCCGTGCCCCCTTCCCAGGAGAAGCCGGGGCCGGGCAGGGAGGACGCCGTGGCGGTGGGGCTGCAGGACGCAGCAGGAGCAGACGCGTGGCCGGAAGGGGCTGAGGCCGAGCAGGCCCCCCCGGCGGCGCCCCCCGCCCCAGAAGTGCCGGCGGAAGGTGCCCCCGAGGACCTGGACTACGCGGACTCCGTGGAGGCGGGGCACGTCTTCGACGACTTCGCCAGCGAAGGCCTCACACAGCTGGACGACATGAGCTCGCCGCCCTCCCCGGAGAGCACGGACTCCTCCTCACCCGAGCGCCAGGTCCTCCCGGCGCCCCCGGCCCGCCCGCAGCCGGACCACAGCCTGGCCGCCATCAGGAGGGAGGTGTCGCTGATCCACAGCGAGGACGCCGAGGAGGCCCCGTGCCAGCAGGACCCGGCGCAGGCCGCGGGCCCAGGTGCCCCGGGAGGCCCGGCCGGGGGGGGGGCGCAGCTGGGGAAGGAGAGCCCCTGCCCGACCTCCTTGCTTCGGGCCAAGGCCCCCGTGAAGAGGGTCACCTGGAACCTGCAGGCGGCGGCCGGCGGCGCTCCGGCCGAGGACAGGGCCCTGTGTGAGTAGGGGCTCGGCGGCACGCACGGGCGGGCTGGGGCTGCGGGGGCACGTGGGAGCGCTGGTCGGAGGTGGCTGCAGCCAGCTGTGTCCTTGTTGCTGGGTGCTTCTCTGGAGCTTTCCAGCCGGGAAGTAGCCCTCCGTCCTGGGTGGCCACAGAACACTCACCTCTCCTATGTTGGCCCTCAGGGACCCCACTTCACAGGCCCCAGCAGCCCCAGGAAGAGGCCTGGGAGCCCGGAGACGGGGGCCTTGTGGTGGACTCGCAGCAGGCACCCTGCCCCGAGCCCCCTCCTGCTTACACGCTTCCAGAGCCCAGCTTCCCCCCTGCGGACCCTGCTCAGGTGGGTGCCGGGCTGCGGGGAGGGCGGTGACCTTGCACATGGGCACTGGGTGAGGGTGCTGCCCGCATCGAAGCTCCGCTCAGCCGACTGTTCTCGCCCAGGTTTATGGCTCCAGCCTGCCTCCCGCCCTGGCTCTGCCCTCCAGTGCTCCGCCCTACGCTCCGGTCAGCCAGCCCACGGTGCAGTTCATCCTGCAGGGCAGCCTCCCCCTGGCGGGCTGCGGGGCGGCCCCCAGCCTGGCGCCCGTGCCCACTGTCCTGACCACAGCCTCCGAGCCGGCTGGCCACGACACCACCACCAACAACTCCGAGGAGAGGACAGCCACTCCCCGGCCGGCCCCAGAGAAAGCCAAAAACGAGGAGGTGAGACCCCCGCTCCGTCCTCCGGCACACGGCGGAGCGCCTGCCCCCAGGCCCCAAGGCCGGGCGGCACTCACCCCTCCCCCTCCCCCTCCCCCAGTACCTGAAGAAGCTGCACATGCAGGAGCGGGCGGTGGAGGAGGTGAAGCTGGCCATCAAGCCCTTCTACCAGAAGCGTGAGGTCACCAAGGAGGAGTACAAGGACATCCTCCGCAAGGCCGTGCAGAAGGTGGACGGGGCGCGGGGGGGGGGGGGGGGCGGGGTCCGGGGAGGGTGCGGTGCTGGCGCAGCGGCCGCCTCTGGGCTCGGAGCGGGGGGCCGGGGAGGGTGCTGAAGAGGCTGTCAGAGTGACACCCTGCGGGCTCCGGCCATCATGGTGGGACCTCAGTGGCCCTGGGAGGTGGGTACAGCCAGCCCCCAGGGCCAGTCATGGCAGCTACTGAACGTGTCTGGGTATGCAAGGACCTCTGGGTAATTGTGCCTCCCCCTCCCCCAGATCTGCCACAGCAAGAGCGGGGAGATCAACCCGGTGAAGGTGGGCAACCTGGTGAAGGCCTACGTGGACAAGTACAGGCACATGCGCAGGCACCGCAGGCCCGAGGCCCGGGAGCCGGCTGGCGAGGGCTGAGTCCGCCCGGCCCCGCCTGCGTTGGGAGCGGCCGCGGCAGAGCTCGGGGGGCCCCAGCCCTGGCCAGGTTCCGGGGACCACTTGTGGTCTGTGCCCGCCCCGTGCGGTTCAAACTGGACGTTACGTGTACATTGTAGATACACCTCATTGTGTTGTAATTTATCAGAAATGATTCTCTTTAGAAACTTCTCGTCGACTCAATACTTGAAAACGGGGACCTTGGATGGGAGGGGGCTGCCCGTCTCTTGTTTAGGGAACCCCCACTTCACTGGTAATGTAATACAAACATGGCAGAGGCAGCAGGGTGGGTGTGGGGGCCGTGATGGGCCTTGGACACAGCACGGGGCGGCTACTGGCTGTGGAGGGAGCCCAGGTGCCTGGTGCCCAGGGAGCTTCGTGTCCCGCGTAATCTCTCCGAAGAGTGCGTGCGGGGGACCACCCCTCCCTGACCCCGCCACACACAACACCAGCTCCGGCTCGTAGCACTTTTATTGGTCAGGGCGGCCTTGGGGCCTAGGCTGGCTGCTCCACCTCCATGAAGTGCTCCAGGTAGTGCTCCAGTTCCTCGTACAGGCTGTTGAAGCTGGACAGGCAGAGGCCCAGGCTGCCGCTGTCCAGGGAGGACACGCCCTCCCTCTGCACCCTCTCCAGGTACGCCTGGCACAGCCACAGCTCCAGCTGCAGGGAGGGTGCAGTCAGCCAGGTCAGGGCTGGGGCAGGGGCTGGGGCAGGGGCAGGGGCAGCCTCCCCCGGGGGACCGTGCCCTCACCTTCACCAGGACCAGGTTCCTCTCCTTGGGCCTCCCAGCTGACAGGTCCTGCCCAAAGCCCAGGTAGATGGTGTAGTGCGGGGAGTCCTTGCGCTTGCGAGTCTGGAATTCCACCAGCTCTGCAGGATGGGGCCTGTGAGTGCAGGGCCCGGGACAGGAGGGCGGGAAGGACTTTGGTCCCAGAGCCAGGGCCACTGACCTCGGAAGAAGGTGCCGAAGTCGAATATGCGGGTGTCGCAGTTCCTCTCCAGCAGGCACGCGGGGGCCGAGGGGCTGTGGGAGCCCAGGGGGCTGCCCACCTCCCAGTAGACCTTACACTTGCCCAGGCGCTGGGCCCACAGCCCCGTGCCCCGGAGCTGGAGCCGCAGGCCGGGCGCCACGTGCTGCAGCAGCTTCTCCGTGTAGCGGAGCTGCTTCTGGTCGGCGAGCTGGGCGGGGCAGGGGAAGGCCACCAGCTGGGGCTCTGGGGCCTGCGCGGCACAGCCGGGGGCCCCGTACAGGAGCACGCAGCTGGGGCGCCCCACCGTCTCCTGCAGCACCGTGCGGCCCTTGTACATGATGGTCAGGAGCAGGGGTCCCAGGCTGGGCTCTGCCTGCGGGCCGAGCTGTGGCCAGGGCGGGCCCACCAGTGGGGTGCAGGGCTCCACCTCTGGTGGGGACTGCCAGATCCCAGGCGCTGGACCTGCGTCTGGGGGGAAAGGCCTGAGTTGGCACCCGCCCCTCCAGCCTCTCCCTCTCCCACTCATCCCCTGGCCCACAGGAGCTCCAGCGCCCCAGCTGGCAGCTCCGGGCCTGCGGGCGGCACCATCCCTGTCGGACCGCCCTCCCCTGGCACGACACCACCATTCAGCAGCCCCTCACCACAGGCCTCAGGAGGGGCCTCCAGCAGGTGCTCCAGGTGGCTCTGCTCCAGGGCTTCCAGCAGGAGGTCCCCGGTGCAGGCTGCCAGGCTCACCAGAGGGCTGGGGCTCCACCTGTCTGGTCCAGGCCCAGGACTCGCATTGGCATCTGCCAGGCATGGCCCAGGGAGCACCCCCTGCAGGGGAAGATGGTGGTGGCGTAGCAGCCTACAGCCCAGGAGGCGGCACACCCCATCGGGTGCCAGGACACAGCCTTACCCTGGTGGGTGGGGCATCTTCGTAAGCCTTGTGGTCCCCCTGGCCAATGCCTGGACTTCCTGAGGGACGGGGGGGGGGGCAGCACTGGGACCTGAGACGAAGCTGGTCCATGCCCCCCTTCCCTAGTCTCAATAACACACACACACACACACACACACACACACACACCCCGCTCCCGGGCCCCCTCCAACCTGGCCCCATCCTCTCCCAGACCAACTTCTAAAACCGCAGATCTGACCTCCATGGCTGCCCGGGGACAGAACAGAGTCCCAGCACCCCCTGCTCGAGCCCGCCCTCCGCAGCTTCCCACGCCCACCTCCGCACCCCTCCTCGGAGCTGAGCGTGAACACTTTGTGCGGGTCGGTGGGGTCTGCCGAGTTGTCTTGCAGCATCACGAAGCGCTTGGTGCTGCGCAGGGCACAGCGGAAGTTGGTTTTCCAGCACGCCAGCAGCTGGCCGTCGGGGGCCGGCAGGTCGCCTGCGCCTCTGCTGGGCGGCCACCTGCCGCGCGCCAGCGCCCAGGCCTGGGGAGGGAGGCGGAGGGTGTGGGCGGCGCCGGAGGCCGCCAGCCCTCGCGCCCCGCCGCCGCCGCGGGTCCGGCCGCCGCGCGTCCCACCTTGAAGATGCCGGCGTCGGCCTCGCCCAGGTCCTTGCGCGCGAAGTGCTTCCAGGGCACGCGGAAGCGCGTGCGGGCCGCGTCCAGCCAGCGCAGCCCCTCGTAGCGGCCGCTGCCCACCTCGCCCAGCAGCCACTCGGCGAACAGCACGCGCGGCGCCCCCCTGTGGGCGGAGCGGGTCAGGGCGCGGCTGGGCGCGGGGCGGCGCCGGGAGGCGGGCGGGCTCTCACCTCTCGGGGTCCGCGGCCATGGCGCTGCGGGGTCCGCGGTCCGGGCGGCACGCGGTGTCCCCGAGGAGGGCTGCTCGGGCGGCGGAACCCGGCCGGTGGCCCAGGTGTGGCCAGGTGCGGGGCACGGAGGTGGGGCCGGGCCACGCCGGGCGGAGGAGCGGGCACGGGCGGTGCGGGGCACGGAGGTGGGGCCGGGCCACGCCGGGCGGAGGAGCGGGCGCGGGCACGGGAGAAGCGGTGAGGACAGGTGTGGCGGCGCGCACACCGGGGTCGCGGTGTTGAGCCGGCGCCCGGGCCGGGGGCGCAGGCTGGACCCTGCGGAGACCGGGAGCCGCCGCTGGAGGGCCCGGCGCCGCCGGGAAAGCGAAACCGCGAAGCCCGGGCGCCGGGAAACGAAACCTAACCGCCCGCCGCCCCGCCCGCCCGCCCGCGGCCCCGCCGCCGCCCCCGCCCCCGCCCCCGCCGGGAGCTGCCCTCCGGCTCCGCGCGGCGGGACCCTCAGACCTGGAACCGGAGCCGCCGGGACGGAAATTTCGTCTCAACCGGGCGCCGGGGGCCCGCGCTCTTATGCCGGGCGCCGGGGGCGGGGCGGGGCGGGGGCGGGGCCGGGCCGAGGGCGGGGCCGGGGCGGCGTCACGTGCTGGGCCGGTCCCGCGGGCGGGAGCGCGGTGTGTCCGCGCCGAGCCGCGGGGGTTGCGGAGGGCGGCAGGGGTCCCCTCCCCGCCAGCTCCCGGCTCCTGCCCCGCGGGCGGCGCCCCAACCCGGACTGCCCAGCCCGACCCACCGCGGGGCCCAGGCGGGGCCCCCGAACGTCCCGGCTCTGCCCTCCGAGGGCCCCGGGGGCGCTCCTGAGCCTCCCGCGGGCCGAGGGGAGAGGGCCCAGGGCAGGCGCCCTCCTCCGCCTGATTGCCCGCCAGGGGCCCGGACCTGGGGCGCCCCGAGCTGCGGGAGGAACGCCCCGCGCCCGCCCCAGTCCCCGCTCCTGCCCCGCCCGGCGCCCCGCCCCCGCCCCCCATCCCGCCCCCGCGTGCCAACTGGGCGCACCACGGACGCGCCGCCGGGTTGGAGGTGACACTTTATTCCGGGCGCGGGGGGCGGTGTGGGGCGCGGGGGGCGGTGTGGGGCGCGGGGGGCGGTGTGAGGGGCGGGGGGCGGTGTGGGGCGCGGGGGGTCTAGATGTAGGTGGAGTCGGTGCCCGGCGCGTCGGCGCGGGGCTCCCAGCCCGGTGCTGCGTCCGCGCCCTCGTCCCCGCTGCCTTCGCCGCCGGAGTCGCTGCCGGAGTCGCCGCCGAAGTCGCCGCCGGAGTCGCCGGCGCCGTCCGCGTCCAGGACGGGCGCGTTGAGCACCACCACGTCGGCGTCCGCCCCGTCGCTCCCGCCGAACCACACGGCCTTGTAGCCGCCCTCGGGCCGCCGCTCCTTGGTCAGGATGGACCTCACGCCCGCCGAGGCCTCGGGGGCCTGGCCGGGGGCCTGGCCGGGGCGCGGGGAGCGGGGCGCGGGCGGCGCGGGCGGCGGGGACGGGGGCGGAGAGGGCACTGCGGGCGCGGGCGGGACCTCGGCTGGGGCGCCGCTGGGGCCGGGGTCAGGGCCGGGGTCGGGACCGGGGCTCGGGGCCGGAGACCAGCTGGGTTCGTGGTTGTCGGAGAGGAAGGCCTTGTTGTCGAAGCCGTAGGGCTGGGGCTCCTGGGGAGCAGGCGGGAGCCGAGGCATCAGCGGGGACCCCGGGCCTGGACCAGACCCCACCCCCAGGGCCCGCTATCCCGCCGCGCCCTGCTCACCAGGGCTTTGCGGCCGCAGCACCGGAGCCGGGCCCCGTAGTGTTTGTGCACCAGGATGGCCAGGGCCAGGAGCGCCAGGACCAGCAGCGTGCCCAGCACCCCGCCCAGGGCCCCCATCTCCGCCGCGGAGAAGCGCCGGTCCTCCTGGTGGCCACCGTCCCCAGCACCGCCTCCGGCCCCGGGCGAGCCTGCAGACCACACCACGCCCCTCCGTCAGTGCAGCCCAGCACTTCGCTACCAGCGGCTCAGAACCCTGGGCCAGGCCAGGCCGGCGCCCCCCCCCTGCTCCCCCGCCCCCCCACCCCCGGCTCCCCTGCCCCAGGAGCTGTGTTCCCAGGCTGCTGAAGGGAGGAAGGGGGGTCCAGTGGGAGACGAGAGCAGTGCTGGGCCAGTGGGGTGGGTGGCCGGGGGACTGTGGCTGCACCGTGTCCCAAATTGGTTTCTGGCCTGCCCCCCCCCCACACACCCCACTCCCTCCCCTTTGGGTTTCAGCCTGCATGGCCCTGCTGGTCCCACCTGGGGCGGGCGGGGCAGGCCCTGTGGTGTCCCCAGTCTTCCGATCAGGGAACAGGGTGACTCCAGGGCCAGGGGGTGCCAAGGAGGGTGAGGGTTCTGCTGGGCCCTGGGCACGGTGGGAGGTACCTGGCTTGGAGGTCTGTTGTGAGCCCGCACCAGACGAGGCTGATGAGGGGGGGGTGCTGGTTCCAACACTCGAGGGGCCCCCAGGCGTGGACAAGGCAGGTGGCTTCAGAGTTGTACCTGAGGGGGGGTGCGGGCCCGAGCTCGCCCCAGAGCTGGTCGTGGGGGGTCTCTGAGGAGTGGAGCTGCTAGAAGTGGGGTGTGGGGTGATCCCCCCAGAACTGGTCGTGGGGGGTTTCTGAGAGGTGGAGCTGCTAGAAGTGGGGTGTGGGGTGCTCCCCCCAGAGCTGGTCGTGGGGGGTTTCTGAGAAGGAGTGGAGCTGCTAGAAGTGGGGTGTGGGGTGCTCCCCCCAGAACTGGCCGTGGGGGGTTTCTGAGAGGTGGAGCTGCTAGAAGTGGGGTGCGGAGTGATCCCCCCAGAGCTGGTCGTGGGGGGTTTCTGAGAAGGAGTGGAGCTGCTCGAAGGGGGGTGCGGGGTGATCCCCCCAGAGCTGGCCGTGGGGGGTTTCTGAGAGGTGGAGCTGCTAGAAGTGGGGTGTGGGGTGATCCCCCCAGAGCTGGTCGTGGGGGGTTTCTGAGGAGTGGAGCTGCTAGAAGTGGGGTGTGGGGTGATCCCCCCAGAGCTGGTCGTGGGGGGTTTCTGAGAAGGAGTGGAGCTGCTCGAAGGGGGGTGCGGGGTGCTCCCCCCAGAGCTGGTCGTGGGGGGCCGTGGGGCCTCTGAAGTGGAGCTGCTTGAGGGCCGGGCCGTTGTTCCAGTCTCGGGGGGTGTTGGGGGGCCTGGGGGCCGGGAACACAGCTCCGCTCGCCTCTGTCCCCAGCATGCCAGAGGCAGACCCCGCCCCGAGGCCCCCAGGCTGGCACCCACCTGTGGGGGGCGGCACCTGCTCCGAGACCCGGATCTCCAGGGCGGTGGTGGCCGTGCCCCCTGTCACCGTGTTGTTGGCCTGCACCTGGGGAGGGAAGGGGTTCGTCCCTCCTGGTCCCCTGGGACCCCGCCCGCAGGGGCCGCCGGCTCCTCACCGCTGCATAGAAGACGCCGGCCTGCAGCAGCGGGGCGGCCGCCCGCACCGTCTCCCCGTCCATCCGGAAGTCGGAGTTGTTGGTGATGCGGTAAGTGATGGCCGAGTTGAGGTCCTGGAGGTGGCCCCAGTGAGCCCTGGGCCCAGGCTGCCCCGTGCCCCCCCACCCCAGAGCCGGAGGGGCACCTACCGGGAACTCGGGGTCCTGGGCCTGGATCCTCAGCGGCTGGGAGGGGTCTGCGGCTTCGCTGACGGCCACGCCCGCCCCGGAGCCCAGGGCCAGGACGCCCCGGTACAGGCTCTGGGGGAACCGCGGCGAGCTCCCAGCCGCGGCCCGGGCCTCCACCGTGACCTGGGCCACTGCGTACCGGGCGCGGTCCGCCTGCTCACCCTGCGGGGACCCACAGTGACCAGGGGCCCTGGGCTCAGGGCAGGTGCTGGGGACCCGGCCAGGCACCCACCTTGACCAGCAAACGGAAGGTCTTGGGGCTGGGGACGCTCTGGGCCATGGTGAGGTTGCCCGAGTCGGCGTTGATGACGAACGTGCCGTCCTCGTTTCCTGGGGGGGGAGGGGGGCAGGAGGGTCAGGCCAGCTGCTGCAGAGGCTTGCGGTCCAGGGTCCCCGCGGGCTCTGCCCGGGGTGGGGGGGGCGGCCTGGCTCGCTCACCCTGCAGGATGCTGTAGACGATGCGCTGGTCGATGCCCCGGTCCCCGTCCACAGCGTAGATGGGCCCCGGTCGCAGGATGAGCGGGGCTGGCTGTGCCGCGGAGGGGAGGGGAGGGGAGGGGCGGGGAGGGAGGGAGGCCGTGGGCTGGGGTGCCGGCTCCGGCAGGACCCCTCCCACTCCCCTCAGCACCTGGGACACTCCACGCCCCGGCCTGCCCTCGCAGGGTGACCCATGGCACCCTTATGGGCCCGTTAATGAGTCATTTCGCCCAAAGACACGGGATTGGCCTGAGCAATGGGTGTCTCAGAGGTGGCACCCTGGGGACGGGCAACTTGAGGGGAGTCTGGACCCCCTCCCGTGCCTCTGTGCACCCCTCGGGGCCGGAGCGGGGACAGGCAGCCCCATAGGACCCAGCGGGCCCCCCCGGCCCCACGTTGGGTCTGGCTCTGCCCGGACAGCAGGGCCTGTCCGCCTCATTCTCACTTCAGAGGGTTTGGGTTGGGCAGGTTTACAAAGCGATGCTCACGCTGTTTAAAAATCATAACTCGCCAAAACCGGTTTGGCTCAATGGATAGAGCGTCGGCTTGAGGACTGAAAGGTCCCGGGTTCGATTCCGGTCAAGGGCATGTACCTTGGTTGCAGGCACATCCCCAGCTGGGGGTGTGCAAGAGGTAACTCTCTCTTTTTGATGTTTCTAACTATCTCTCTCCCTTTCTCTCTGTACAAAAATCAATAAAATATATATTTTTTAAAAATCACGACTCAATTTGGCCCCAGGGCGCACCCCCCGCCCTGTACCAGTTTGTGGCCGGTGGGGATGGCACCCCGGTACTGGGGCTCCACACAGATGCTCCCGTCCGAGTAGAGGCAGGGCAGGAACCAGGGCGGCCTCCGGTCCACCGGCTGCACCTCCAGGACCAGGGTGGCCGTGGCGCTGTGGCTGGGCTCGGCGTCCTCCTTCGGCGTGTCCTGTGGCCGAGCCCCACGGTGAGCCTGGAGCCCGGCGGGCGGGCGGGGCGGGGGGCCGGGAGGGACCCGGGCAGGGCTGCTCACCCGCACACTCAGCAGGAGGGTCATGCTCTGGCTCCTGTCGAAGTCCAGGGCCCGGTCCAGCCGCAGGGCAGGGGAGTTGGTGCCCCTCAGGGAGAAGACGCTCCCGGCTCCCTGAGGGGGGCGCAGCTGAGACCCGGAGGCTGCGGGGGGCGTGCGCCCCAGAGGGAGAGGGCTGGGGAGGGAGGGAGGGAGGGGCACTGACCGGTGTCACCTCCCGGAGGGTGTAGAACAGGACGTCGTTCTGGTCACGGTCTGTGGCCGCCAGCTCCTCCTGGGGGATGACGATGCTGCCCACTTTGGTGTCCTGGTGACAGAGGGTTGGTCTGGCCACGCCTTCAACCCCTGGGACCCACCCAGGCCAGGTCCCCACTGCCCCATCCCCCTCGCTCACCTCGGGCACCTCCTTTCGTTTGACCTCGAAGGGGAACACGGGAGGGTTGTCGTTGACATCCCGCACGGCCACAAACACGTTCAGCTGGGACACCTGGGGGGCAGGGGGCGGTCAGCGCCCCCGAGGGCGTGCAGGTGTCACAGGACAGCTCTGCCGGGCAGGGCCCAGACCCCCCAACTTGTGAGAACCTGGGGAGAAATAACGTGGGCGGAGGGGAGCGCAGCCAGCCAAATCCTGCGAGGACAGGGCGGCGTTTGTTCCAGCGGGCACCAGAGCAGAGCGGGGGACCGGCTTGAAGGGGGGCCTCAACAGCTCACCCGGCCCCCTGCCGGGCCCTGGCCTGGCCGAGAGGCGCCCTGAGGCCCCGGCAGCCAGTGCCTCCGGCCGGGTGGGCGCTGGGAGATGGGGGAGCGGGGGTGGGGCAGCTGGCAGCTGAGCTGCAGGACCGTGGGCTCCCTGGCCGTCCCCACCGGGTCTGCGTGTTTGGCATTTCCCTCCTCTGGAGGGTCAGGAGCTGAGGGCGTGGGGCGAGGGGCCGGGCAGGCGGGGTTTGCCAGTCTGCAGTTCAGGGGCAGTTTAGCTGGAGGAAGTGTGGGCGTTGCCAGCACAGGTGACGCTTGACAACAGGTCACTGGGTGAGGTCCCTGGAGAGGCCCCGAGCGGGGGGGGGGGGGGAGAGAAAGGGGGCCTGCTGGTGTCCAGGGGAGGGGGCACTCACCACAGTGTCCCCTCTCCGGCACTGCAGGTTTGCCAGCAGCATCGTCGTGTTCTGTGGGCGGAGGTGTGTCAGGAGCCCTTGCCAGGGCCCCACAGCTCCGACCCCAAACCCCGTCCTCAGCGAGAGCACCAGCCCGGGGGCCCAGGCAGCTTTGTCCCCCGGGGGCCCCGGTCCCTGCCCGCCCTCTGGGTCAGCCCCTGGCTGTGGGCAGAGCCCTCCCCGGGGCCGTGGGGCGCACCTCGTAGTCGGGCTCCACGTTGAGAAACAGCTGGTTCCCCTCGATCCGAAAGGCGTCGGGGGTGGACTGAGGCCCGAGGGCCACCTGCTGGCCCTCGGGGACCTGGATGTCCACCAGGGGCCCATTGGGCTTCGTGTTCTCCTCGATTTCGAAGTAGGTCTGGTTCACGGAGCAGCCTGGGAAGTGGGAGCGGGAGGGTGAGGGCCTTCCCGCCGCCACCGCCCGCCGCCCACCCACCCGGCCCCCACCCAGCCCGCCGGCCGCCAAGCCCACCCTGAGCCCCGGCCGCGGCCAGGAGCAGAGGCAGCAGCAGGGCCCAAGCCCCCATCTCGGGCGGCGGCGGCAGGATCGGGTCAGAGCCCGGCGTCCAGGGCCTCCGAGCTGTGCCGGTGCCGAGCCGGTGCAGTCTCTGCCGGCGACCTTCGCCCCTGCAGCCCCGCCCCGCTTTATGGCCTTCCCCGACCGGCCTCCCCCAAGGGGGCTCCCGCCGGCCGCTGGGCAGGAGCCAGGTCACATGCAGGGCTCGGCCCACACGTGTGAGGCGGGAAGCAGGCGGGGGCTGCGCCGGGCACCGGCGGGGGCTGGGGGGTGGAGAGGGTGGTCACGGGGGGCGGGGCCTTGGCTTCTGAGTTGGCTGTACCCGCCCCCTCCCGCTGCCCCTTTGCTGGGCTCTTTTGCCAGAATCATGTGAGGGCCCCGGATCCCGGCTTCTCCTCTGGGCCCCACCCCTCCCACACCCCCTTCTCCGTCTGGGTGGAGAAGGCTGCAGGTGTGCTGGGGCCCAAGCCGCCGGGCCCGAGGGCCACCGTCCTGGGAAGACGGTCCCCTCGGTGTCCGCCAGCAGGCGGCTCTGGAGAGGCTCCTTGGCCCAGGCCCCCAGCTGCCCTGCCCTCGCCTTTCCCTGGACCCCAACCCACATCCGGGGAGAGGCCTCGGGGTCAGGAGGCGGGAGGGGTCCTGCTGGCTCTGCGGTGACCGCAGCTCCTGCACCCAGCCCAGCCCCCTTGGGGTGTCACACTGTCCCTGCTCCCAAGGCCCCACACGGACAGGAGCCGACTGCTGGCCTCTTGTGACCCCCTCCCCGGCTGTCACCTCCCGGGGCACCCTGAGCCTCTCGCCTCAGCCCCTGATGGCCCTGATGTTGCTGAGTGGATGACAAGGTGTGTGAGGGGGGAGCTCAGGCAGCGGAACAGGAGGAGCCCTGATGCCAGAGATAAGGACGGGAGGGTGAGGGCCCAGTGGCTCCCGGTGTAAAGGGCAGGGGGCGTGGCCAGCGCTGGCCTCCCCAGCGTACCCCGTCCCGCAGCCCTGCCCAGCGTCTGCTCCACGGTGTCGGTGCAGTCACACACGGGCTCACAGGCAGGGTCTGAGCTCCTCTTTATTGGTGCCAAGGCAAGCCGCTCCCGCCCTGCACCCCTCCCCGCCAGTCCAGGCTCCCGGTCCGAGGCGGGAGTGGAGGGTCCTCCGTCGTCACAGCCGCATCTGGGTCTCCGCAGGGACCCCCGGGCGGGAAGCCAGGACTGCGGACCTCGGTCTGGGAGGCAGCCTGGGGGACCAGGCCTGATCCAGGGGGGCCCTCAGGGGCGTCCTGCGGCCACAGTCCGGTTAGGGGCGGGGCTTGGAGCTGGAGACCCCGCCCACCTCGGGAACTGACTCAGTCTCCCGCTCAGACCCTGACCCGGGGTTCTCGCCGGGACCCGGGGGCCGCCCTGACCCCGTGCCCGCCCTGACCCGGGGACCACCCCGACCCGGTGGGGGGGGGCGCCCTGACCCCGAGCCCGCCCTGACGGGGGGGGGGCGCCCTGACCCGGGGGAGGGGGGGGAGGGCCGCCCTGACAGGGGGGAGGGGCGCCCTGACCCGGGGCCGCCCTGACGGGGGGGGGGGGGGCGCCCTGACCGGGGGGGGGGGCGCCCTGACGGGGGGGTGGGGGGGAGGGCCGCCCTGACGGGGGGGGGGAGGGGCGCCCTGACCGGGGGGGGGGCGCCCTGACGAGGGGGGGGGGAGGAGGGCCGCCCTGACGGGGTGGGGGCGCCCTGACGGGGGGGGGGAGGGGCGCCCTGACCCGGGGGGGGGGGGCGCCCTGACGGGGGGGGGGGGGGGGAGGGGCGCCCTGACCCGGGCCCAGGGGCCGGGCCGGGGCGGGGCTCACCAGGCCTGCAGGGCGGGCGCGCTGGACCACAGCAGGCAGAAGGGCCCCTCGGCAGACTTGGTCCAGGACGTGCTGTTCTGGGGGTCCTGCTCGCTGCCCCAACCCCAAACCAGAGTTAGTCCTGGAGCCGGGCCGCCTGCCCCGAGGCCCCGCCCCGGGCAGCCCCTCACCTGCGCTTCCCCACCAGGCCCTGGAGCAGCCGCTGCAGCCGCGCGCTCTCCCGCAGGCGGCTGAGCTCGCTGGTGAACGTCCCGTCCGAGTGCCGGGGGGCCCTGCGGGCGCGGGGCGGGGGTGAGGGCCGGGGGCCCTGCGGGCGCGGGGCGGGGGTGAGGGCCGGGGGGCCCTGCGGGCGCGGGGCGGGGGTGAGGGCCGGGGGCCCTGCGGGCGCGGGGCGGGGGTGAGGGCCGGGGGCCCTGCGGGCGCGGGGCGGGGGTGAGGGCCGGGCGTGCGGGCGGACGCAGGGCGGGGGGACGGACGCGGGGAGGGCACCGCGTGGTGGTGGAGGCCCGAGGAGCGCGGGCTCCCCGGGGGGGCGCGGGGCGCGGAGGGTGAGGGCGGGGGGACGGACGCGGGGAGGGGGGAGCACCGCGGGGGTCCGAGGGGCGCGGGCTCACCGGGGAGGCGCGGGGCGCGCTGCGGAGCCCCCGAGCAGCGGCAGCAGCGGCAGCAGCAGCAGCAGCAGGGCCCGCGGGGCCATGGTGGCGGCCGGTGGTGAGCTCGGCTGCCCGGCCGCGGCCCGCGCCGCCCTTATAGCCGCCCCCGAGGGCGGGCGGCGGGGGCTCAGCGCCGCCCCGGCTCCGCGCGGCCCGGCGCGCCCATCGATCGGCGGGAAGGTCAGGGCCGCCCCCCCAGCTGTCGCCGGGCTGGCCGCCCCCCCAAGTCCCGCCGCGCCGGCGCCCCTGGGCGGTAGGGGTGGAGGGCAGCGGAGCGGACCGGCCGGGGGCGGTGTGTGTGTGTGTGTGTGTGTGTGTGTGTGTGTGTGTGTGTGTGTGACAGGCTAAGCATGGGCCCCTGGGCGCCGGGGCCTGGGGGAGGGGTTCGGGAGGGTCTGGGCTGGGCCGAAAGGCGGGCGATCCTGGTCGCGGGCCCCTGGAGGGGGGCGGCCAAGCGCAGGCCGTGAGGTCACTGGCATTGGCCGCGGACGGTTTGGGGGGCACCTGTGCCCTCACTGGCATTCGCTGTGGGGCAGGGGCGGGTGGAGCGGTGGGGTTGCAGGGGGCGCGGATCCGGGCCTGGGTGCCTCCCCAGTGCTCTCTGTATTTTTCCAGGCAGCAGAGGGTGAAGCAGCAGGAGGTGGGGGGGGGGGGGGGGAGGCAGCTGGGATCGAAGGGGATTAAGTGGGGCTTTTGACAGCCGGCAGGACGCAGGAAACCCTTCCCATCCACCTCATCTGGGAACGGAGGCCATAAACTGATCTGGGCCGAACCAGGTGGTTAAGGCGCAGCAGCAGCCACAGATCCCCGGAGCCCCCGCCCAGCCCCGGCCCTCGGCGGCCTGGTGCCGGAGGAGCCCACGCGGATTTGTGACTTCTCCGCTGGACGGTGTGAGGGGCCGTGGCCACCGCCAGTCTCACCGGGAGCAGTTTCCCGCCCTCTGGCTCCCCTGCTGCACCTGTCCGCACCCCGCCATCCGCCTGGGGGTCACGGAGTTGGAACCACAGTGTGGGCTTCTCACGTGGACGCCCGTGGGTGCGGTCTGCCGGCTCCCTGGGCCCGCAGTGGCTCTCCGGGGGAGGCGTCCTGTCGGACGGGCTGCGGTTGGGTGGCTCGGGCTGCTCGGGGCTTGTGTGGGTCCACGAGCAATCCTGATATGGGTTCTTTCCTGCGATGCCCTCTCTCTTGAGTTCTGAGTTTCGTAGACAAGTTGTTTGATAATATTTCCTCCTGTTCTGTGGCTGGAAGCATTAATTTTTTATTAAGGTATTACAATATATGTGTACATACCTTACCACCCCCCCACCCCCCCCTATACATGCCCCAGAGTGCATCTGTTGGTTATTCTTATGTGCATGCATTCAAGACTTAGGGGTGTCGAACTCAATCAGAGAAGGGGCCAAAATCTAAAATCCAGCCTAAATCGAGGGCCGAATGGTTTACTGAACAGTCATAAACTGTCATTGTGATGGAAACGCAGCGGAGTGCAGTGATGACAGCGCGGTGCGGGCCACATTGCAAGGCCTGGCGGGACGGATTTGGCCCGCGGGCCTTGTGTTTGACACATGTGACAAGTCCTTTGGTTGAACTCTTATCTCCCCCACCTCTCCCTAACCAGGAAGGTTTAATTTAAAAAAAATATGTATTTATTGATTTCAGAGAGGAAGGGAGAGGGAGAGATAGAAACATCAATAATGAGAGAGAACCATTGATTGGCTGCCTCCTGCATGCCCCACACTGGGAATGGAGCCTGCAACCTGGACATGTGCCGTTGGCCGGAATCGAACCTGGGACCCTTCAGTCCGCAGGCCGACGCTGTATCCACTGAGCCAAATTGGCCAGGGCTGGGAGGTTTAATTTTAATGAAGTCCAGTTTGAAGTCCAGTTTGTTCGTGCTTTGGATGTCACACCTAAAATCTCTGCCTCCGCCCGGGTCACAAAGACTCCCCCGCCTCCCTCTTTCTTCCAAACGCTGTTCCAGGGTCAGGTTTGCATTTACGTCTCTGGTTCATCTTGAGGTAGTCGTTAAGGAGAGCGTGAGTTGGGATCAGGGTTTGTTTTGCTGTTGCCGTGGGTTTTTTATTGCACCGGGAAGTTAAACACCCTCATCCTAAGGAACCCTCGGGCCACGGGAGGAGTTCCGGGGGAGGGCGGAGGACTTGGACCCGAACATAATTGAAAGCAGACACAGGTGGGTGCATCTCCGAGGGACTCTGGGCGTTACACGCTCAGGTTAGAAAGAAAAACAGCGGCCTTTTAAGGAACTGGGAAAAGGGATACTGAGGATAAAACCAGCAGGAGAAGGGAAATGACAAGGATGAGAGTAGAAATCAATGAAACGGAAAACAAACTCATAAAAAAATCAATGAAACCAAAGGCTGTTTCTTTGAAAAGAGCAATAAAGCCCTAGCTGGTTTGGCTCAGTGGATAGAGCGTCGGCCTGCGGGCACCTTGGTTGCGAGCACATCCCCAGTGGGGGGTGCAGGAGGCAGCTGATGGATGTTTCTCTCTCATCAATGTTTCTAACTCTATCCCTCTCCCTTCCTCTCTGTGAGAAATCAGTAAAATATATTTTAAAAAGGAAAGAGAACTCCAGGCCCGATGCCTTCTGTGGGAAGGGTCGGTGTCAGTCTCTCGCACGGGAGGGGAAGGGAGCCCTCCCGCCGAGTCCTATGCAGCCGGCATTCCTGCGGGACCCGCCCAGAGGCCTGCTTCACCGCCCAGGGCAGGGCCCGTGCCAGGCGTCCGCGATGCGGGGATGAACATCGAGCCTTCTCCTGGACCGTCTGTGCCCGGCTCTCACCTGAGGGCAGACAGTCCGGCGGACCGGGCAGGGCCGTCTCCCCTGCGGGCGCCAGGCCCCGCCCTCCCGGCTCCGGGTGGGGTTGGCACTTGGGGTGATGGAGGCCTGGAGGTGCAGGGTGAGAGGGGCTCACCAGGCTTTTCTTTTCTCGGCCACAGGCATCGCTAATCTCCCCGAGGGCTTATCCCCGCCCCCCTCACCTAAGGCCAAGGTCAGGCCAGCTCCCAGCTCCCGGCTCCCGGGCTGAGGGGGCGCCCACGGGCTCAAGGCCCCAGGCCCCAGGTGGTAGAGCGGGTTTGGGGCTGACCACTTAGCTGCCGCCTGGAGGGTCAGGCAGGGGCCCGGGGGTCCCGGGTCCCGGATGAAAGGCTGCGTCCTGCGGTGGGTGCAGGGCTCTGGGCGGAGGCAGTCATTGTGGGGTGGGGTTGGAGGGGTGCAGAGGGGGGTGCGGGTAGGCTTCGGGCCTCAAGCACCCAGACCCAGGATCCTCGAGGACCCAAGGGGGCGGAGCCTGAGCGCCCCAAGCCTGCGGGTGGAGTCTCCCCGCGGGTGGCGCCTGATTAGTGTGTCCGCCCACACCTCGGGGACAGGGGGGAGTGAGAACCGGCCCTGGAGGTGGGCCCAGCTTGGGCACTGTGGGGACCCGGGATCCCCGCGGCCGGAGGGGGGTGGGGGGAGGCCGGCGCGAGCGACCCGGGGTGCGGTTCGGCCCGCCTTCCATCCCGTGGGTTTCCCGGGGCTCAGACCCGCGCCACACCCCGACCTGGGCCCGCCGCACCCATCCGACCCGGCCCCCGCCCGGCCCCCGTGTGGACAGTCGCGGGTGGGCAGACGCAGGCCCTGCGGGGCGGGCCGGGGCGGGGCCGGCGCTGTCCGCGGTGCTGGCCCGGGCCGGCGGGCGCCATGGGGAACCGCAGCGCCGCCGGGGCCGCGGGGGCCGCGCTGCCGGGGCTGCGGGGCGGCGGCGCGGGGGCGGCGGCGCTGGCGGGCGGCGTGCTGCTCATCGGCGCGGTGCTCGCGGGGAACTCGCTCGTGTGCGTGAGCGTGGCGGCCGAGCGCGCCCTGCGGACGCCCGCCAACTACTTCGTGCTGAGCCTGGCGGCCGCCGACCTGCTGCTGGCGCTGCTCGTGCTGCCGCTGTTCGTGTACTCGGAGGTGGGTGCCCCCGGCCCCGCTCTGCCTGCCCGACCCGCCGCCCCGCGCCTCCCGGCCGCCCCGCCCCCCCGCTCCTCCCGCCGCCCCCGCTCCTCCGGGCCGACCCGCCCCCCCGCTCCTCCGGGCCGCCCCGCCCCCCCGCGCCTCCGAGCCCGACCCGCCGCTCCTCCCGCCGCCCCCCGTGCCTCCGGGCCCCCCCGCCGCCTCCGCTCCTGTCTGCCCGACCCGCCGCCCCGCGCCTCCGGGCCGCCCCGCCCCCCCGCTCCTCCCGCCGCCCCGCGCCTCCGGGCCGCCCCGCCCCCCCGCTCATCCCGCCGCCCCCCGCTCCTCCGGGCCGCCCCGCCCCCCCGCTCCTCCGGGCCGCCCCGCCGCCCCGCGCCTCCGGGCCGACCCGCTCCCCCCCCCCCCGCTCCTCCCACCGCCCCCCGCGCCTCCGGGCCGCCCCGCCGCCTCCGCTCCTGTCTGCCCTACCCGCCGCCCCCCACGCCTCCGGGCCCGACCCGTCCCCCCGCTCCTCCGAGCCCTACCCGCCGCTGGGACCCCGCCTCATGCCTCCTGGGAACCTCGTTACTGCCCGACAGGCCTCTGTCCTTCCAGCCGGGCCCCAGCAGCGGAATTGGGGAGCCCAGAGGGGCCCCCCGCCCTCAGCGGGGCCCACCTCCCCGGGAGCCAGCTCCCCGGAGCACAGACATCACCGCACAGGCCCAGCCGCGGGACCAGAGCCCACACACTGCAGCCCTGGAAGGCGCCCCTCCCTGCACGGACGGAGCCCCAGGGGGAGGGCAGGGAGGGGAGGAGGAGGTGGGGGACAGCAGAACTGAGGGGTGGCTGTGGGGCCCGGAGGGCCGGGCGGGAGGCGGGTTCCTGACGGAGACGGTGAGGGGGCAGCGCTGGGCGGAGGCCCGCAGGACGCGGACACGCGTGGCCTGCGGTGCCCTGCGAGCCCCGAGCAGACGTCACCGCGAAGGTCTTAGGCTCCTAATCGCCCCAAATCGGCGGGACGGGATTTAGAAGGCGGGCTGTCTGCTCCGCCGCCCTCGGAGGGCGCCGGCAGTGAGGCGGCTTTATATTTTAATTCGTTTGCTCTCCACTTTCCCAGGCGAGGGCTCAGAGCGAAGCCGTTTGTCCAAACCCCAGCAGGGACAGCTTAGCCTGACAGAGGACTCTCAGCCGTGCTCTGGGGAGAGCATGAGCGGCGGGCGGGGTGGGGACCCCCGAGCCCCTGGTCATCAGAGACCGGGGTCCGCTTCCCCTGTCCCCCACCCCGACCTCCCAGGCCTGCTCAGTTCTAACAGGAGGCGCGGTGGGGGGACCCGGCAAGGGCTGCGGCCTGGGTCCCTGGTTGCTGCCCCGCCCCCTCCTCTCGCCCAGGCCCAGGGCGGCGTGTGGCTGCTGGGCCCCCGCCTCTGCGACGCGCTCATGGCCATGGACGTCATGCTGTGCACCGCTTCCATCTTCAACCTGTGCGCCATCAGCGTGGACAGGTGGGCGGCCCCGCCCCGGCCCGCCGCCCCTCCTGCACGACTGGCCGCGACCCCAGACCCCCAGGGCCGCCCCATCTCCCCTGGCCCCGCCCACCCCGTAACCCCTCCTAGATGGCCCCGCCTCCAAACGCCCCGCCCCACACTCTGGCCCCGCCCCTCACCAGCCCTCTCCTCTGGCCCCGCCCCCAGCTCCGGTCCCCTCCTAGATGGCCTCGCCCCCTCTGAGATGCCCCGCCCACTCCCTCTCCCGCTTCTGACCCCGCCCAGCCTCCCTGGCCCCGCCTCCAAACCCCAGCCCACACCAGGCCCCGCCCCTCTTAGATAGCTCCGCCCCACCCCCTGTCCCGCTCCTCTGGCCCCGCCCCGCCTCCCAACGCCCCGCCCCCGCCCCATCCCCTCTGAGATGGCCCCATCCCAGCCCCCTGTCCCGCTTCTCTGACCCCGACCCTCCCCGCCCCTCTGAGACGGCCCCGCCCACTCCCTGTCCCGCTTCTCTGACCCCGCCCAGCCTCCCTGGCCCCGCCTCCAAATTCCCCACCCACACCCAGGCCACGCCCCTCGTAGATGGCCCCGCCCCAGCTCCCCCGGGTGCTCCCGCAGGTTCGTGGCCGTGGCCCGGCCGCTGCGCTACAACCGCCCGGGCCGCGGCGGCCGGCAGCTGCTGCTCATCGGCGCCACGTGGCTGCTGGCGGCGGCGGTGGCGGCGCCCGTGCTGTGCGGCCTCAACGACACGCGCGGCCGCGACCCCACGGCGTGCCGCCTGGAGGACCGCGACTACGTGGTCTACTCGTCCGTGTGCTCCTTCCTGCTGCCCTGCCCGCTGCTGCTGCTGCTGTCCGCGGCCACCTTCCGGGGCCTGCGGCGCTGGGGGGCCGCGCGCCGCGCCAAGCTGCTCGCCCGCGCGCCCCGCCGGCCCAGCGGCCCCGGCCCGCCGCCCCCCGCCGCCGCCGCCGCCGCCCCCGCGGCCGGCCCGCCCCCGCCGCCCCCGGCCCCGCCGCCAGCCCGCCGCCGACGCGCCCAGACCACCGGCCGGGAGCGCAAGGCCATGAGGGTGCTGCCCGTGGTGGTCGGTGGGTGCCGGAGGGCGCGGCGCGGGGGTGGCGGCCTGGGCCCCCGGCTCCGCAGGCCCGCGCTCACCCGCCCCCGCACCCCCTCGCCAGGGGCCTTCCTGGTTTGCTGGACGCCCTTCTTCGTGGTGCACGTCACGCGCGCGCTGTGTGCCGCCTGCGCGGTGCCCCCGCGGCTGGTGAGCGCCGTCACCTGGCTGGGCTACCTCAACAGCGCCCTCAACCCGCTGCTCTACTCGCTCTTCCACGCCGGGTTCCGCTCTGCCTTCCGCAAGGCCCTGCGCCCCTGCTGCTGAGCGGCCCCTCTTCTTCACCCACCCCAGCTGTCCAGGAGCGCCCGCCCTGCCTCAGGGACCAGCACCGTGGGGCCCAGTGGTCAGCGCTGGGAGGGGCAGGCATGGGCAGTCTCCGTGTGGCCGGAGCTGAAGGACGAGGCTGCACCCAGGCTGTGCCTTCCAGATGACCGGCAGCTCCGAGCCTGCGGGAGGGTCCCTGGGCAGCTCTGGCCGCTGCTCCGGTCTCTGGGTGACGGGCGGGCGGGCAGATGGCTGCAGGGCCTGCTGTCCTGAGGCCGGTGCACTTCCTGTCAAGGCTTTCTCACCACAAGATCAGGAGAAACTGAGGCAGGCCGACCCGCCTCCCAGCGTCTGGGAGGTGAGAGCTGGGATTGCGTTAGGGATCGACTTTAATGAGACACATATATATACACGCGTGTTACACACACAACACACCCGTGGGTAAGACCGGACCCTCGCGATCCAAGAATAGAAAAGCACCGTGAGCCGCCGAGGCCCGGCCCTCGCTGCCCGGCCTTCCCGGGGCACAGGCCACCCCACTCTGTTCGTAACTTGGCCAGCAAGTTTTTTCCCTTCTCCTCGCCCCGCCCTGCAGCGGAGTCCTCGAGGGGTCCCGCCCAGCAGCCCGCACGGGGCCCCGGTGCACCCTCACACGGCGACCTTCTCGATCACGCCCTCGGCGACCTGCACCTCGTCCCCCTGCACGGTGACGGCCGCCGCCTGCCCGCACATGTGCTGGTGGTCCTTCCAGTCCTGCGGGGAGAGGCACGTGACGGGAGCGGCCCCGCCTGGCTCTCGGTGTCTGCGGGGCCGGCTCACAGGCCAGCACCCGGGAGGAGCCTCAAACCCGAGGCCCTGAAGGCGTCCAGGGGCCTGCACACGGCGACGTCTGTGCCGCTGGCTGGCGAGGCTCAGCTTGAGGCCCGGCGATTCTCGGCCGGGCACATGCTGGGATGCGGGCTGGATCCCCCGCGTGGGGTGGGCAGGAGGCAGCCGATGGGTGATTCTCTCACCACTGATGTCTCTCTCTCTCCCTCTCCCTTCCTCTCTGAAAGCAATAGAAATACATTTAAAAAATAAAATAATGTCCTTTGAAGAACACTGTATCTGTGCTGCTGCCACAAGCGGTTTACAATCGCGACCTCGAAACCACAGCTGCAGCCCGGGGCGGCGCAGGCTGGGCTCCCGGGAGGACGGGCGGGCGCTGACGAGGCCACAGCCCCTGCACCCCCAGGTGGGCATGGAGCCTGGACCAGGGCTTGCAGGAGGCTGGACGCAGGGAAGGGTGTGACGGGAAGGCGGGTGGACAAGCATCTCTGGAGGAACGGGACCAGTGCCTGCCGCCGTACGGGCTCCCGGTGGCGGTGGACAGCTCTCCGCTGTCCTGCCGGCTCTTCCTAGAGTGCAGTGAGCAGGCCCCGGCCTCCCTGCCCCAACGCCCCCTCCCTGCGCCTGGGAAGCCCTTGCCGCACCCCGTGCCACACCCCACAGCCCACAGCCCTGCTCGGTCACCCTCCCGGGGACCTCTGCGGAGAAGGGACGGTGCTCAGGGCCCTGTCCGGGGACAGGCTGAGTGACGTGCGTGGCTGTGTGTGGCGTCCTCCCCACCGCAATCCTCCCTCACCCAGGAATCCCCCGCAGGCCGAGGAGCAAGCAGGCGGGGCCCAGTGAGGCGGCCCCGAGGCCCTGGAAAACGCCGTTTAACCTCCTCCGAGGAAGGCCGAATGGTGGCAACAGACACAGGGGCTCCGGCTGGGCGCGGACCACGGACCACAGGCCAAGGCCACGGGGAGCAGCTTGGCCGGGCAGGCAGCCTACCTTACGCTGGCAGAAGGTGGAGCAGTAGTTGACCTTGTGGCAGCCGGTGCACTCGCTCAGGGCCTCCCGGCCGCAGTTGACACAGGACTGCTGTGGGGACAGAGCCCGTCAGAGCGGCAGAGGGGAGGGCTGGGCCGCCACACGCCCTGGCCCGCCCCCTCCGGGGCAGAGGGCCCGGACCCAGGCTGGGGCAGAATTCCCCGCGGGCGGGGATGGGCCTCAGCTCTGGCCAGCGGGGACCGAGCGCCCACCCCACCCGGCGCTGTGCCCGACCTCCAGCCACGAGGCTCCTGGGTCCCCACCGTGTGCATCGTGTGTGAAGTGTGGGCTGGGAGCTTCCTCTCTGACCAGCTGAGGGCCAAACACAGGGATGCCAGCCTGGCCCCGGCGGACCGCAATGGTACAGCGGGTGACACAGCAGACACGCCGAGGTCAGCTCCGAGCACGGAGCGCAGCAACAGGCAGCAGACGGCGCATGCCAGCACATGCGTGTCAAACGCGCTGGCTGCGTGTAGCCCATAATAAATATTTTTGCAGCCCAGCCGACATAACAGTATGTAAGAAACATGTTAACCTCTGGCCGGTGTGGCTCAGTGGATAGAGCATCAGCTTGCGGACCGAAAGGACCTGGGTTCGATTCAGGTCAAGGGCATGTACCTCAGTTGCAGGCTCCTCCCTGGCCTGGGCCCTGCTGGGGCGCGTGCGGGAGGCAACCCATGGGTGTGTTTCTCTCACATCGGTGTTTCTGTCTTTTCCTCTTCCTCTCTCTCTAAAGATCAATGGGAAAATATCCTCGGGTGAGGATTAAAAAAAGCACGTTTTAATAAAAATGTTGTAACTTGGAAAAACCGGGAGGATCCAAGATGGCTGCCCCCATGTGAACACCTAGCCGCAGCCGCACACAACAATTTCAATAAAATACAACTAAAATATAAAACGGACATTGCCCAGAACTACAGGAAGGTTGACTGACTGGAAATTCTACAGTGAGAAGCAAGGAGAAAACCAGAAGGGGGTGCGGAGGAGCTGGAAAAGCCCAAGGTACGGAGACCGGCGCGCGGAGAGGACGGAGCCGGAGAGGAGGGAGGCCGAGTGCCTGGCGGGCGTTCCCTAGCGGAAAGGAGATAAAACTCCGACTGTGCTGGGCCCCCGACTGCTCTGATCCCCAGTTCTAGGCCAGACCCCGGGGACTCAGGCTCAGCCATAGGGAGCCGGGCTGTAAGGCGGAACCCCGGGGAGAGGCGAAAGGAGGTCCCGGAGGCGCGCACACGGCGCGCAGAGAAGGGACGGTCGGCTGTGCCACGGGATTGCCCTGACGGGAAGGAGACTGGGGCTCCAGACTGCTCTGAACGCCACCTCCAACTCCACCTCCAACTGAACTGAGCCCCAATACCGGGCTCATTGGGGGAGAGCACAGACTGTTTGGCAGCAGGCGAAAATCGAGGGCACCTTTCTCTCAGAGGCGCCGGCAGCGAGCACTGAAGGACCCGCATAGGGCAGGGCTGACGGAAGCCAAAGCTGCAGGTTCCACCCTGAAACCCCGTCCCATCTGTAACTGTGAAATGCGACAACAAAATAGATCACAAACAAAAGAAATGGAGGACAAAAAGCGTCTAGATATAGAGTTCAAATCTACGCTTATAAGGTTTTTCAAGAATTTCATAGAAAAGATGGACAAGACCTATGAGGACATGAAAAGAGATCAACTAGAATTAATAAGGAGTCAACAAGAAATAAAGAATACATTGTCTGAAATAAAAAATATTTTACAGAGTCCTAAAAACAGAAGGGAAGATCGCAAGAATCAAGTCAAAAATATGGAACATAAAGAGCCAGAAGACACTCCTTCACAGAAGCTAGAAGGCAAGAGAATCCAGAAAATTGAAGATAATGTAAGAAACCTCTGGGACAACTTCAAGCGAACCAATATCAGAATTATGGGGGTCCCAGAAGATGAGAGAGAGCAAGATATCAAAAACATACTGAAAGAAATAGTGACAGAAAACTTCCCCCACCTGGTGAAAGAATTAGACTTACAAGTCCAGGAAGCGCACAGAACTCCAAACAAAAGGAATCCAAAGAGGACCACACCGAGACACATCATTATTAAAATTCCAAGAGCAAAAGACAAAGAGAGAATATTAAAAGAAGCAAGAGCAAAGAAGGTAGTAACCTATAAAGGAGCACCTATACGATTGTCAGCTGACTTTTCAACAGAAACCATGCAGGCCAGAAGGGAATGGCAAAAAATATTCAAGGTGATGAATAGCAAGAACCTACAGCCAAAAATAATCTATCCAGCAAAGCTATCACTCAGAATCGAAGGCCAGAAAAAGAGCTTCACTAATAAAAAAAAAGCTAAAGGAGTTCATCACCGCCAAACCAGAATTATATGAATTGCTGAAGGGGGTTCTTTCAGAAGAGAAAGTAAACAAAGATAAAAATTACGAACAACAAATACGTAACTATCAACAAGTGAATCTAAAAACCAAGGAAATTAAAAAAAAAAATCTGATGAACAATATTAACTGTTGAATATAATAGAATCAGAGGTATGGAAGGGGAGTGAACTGACAATTCTTGGGGAAAAGGGAAGAGGGGGACGTGGGAAGAGACTGAACATAAACTGTGCACCTATGGATGAGGACAATGGGGAGAGGGGTAAGGGAAGAGGGTGGGGTGGGAACCTGGTGGAGGAGAGCAATGGTGGAGGGGGGGAAGGAACATTTGTAATAATATGAACAATAAAAACTTATTAAAAACAAACAAACAAACAAAAAAAAAACCAGCCGAAACCGGGTTGGCCCAGTGGATAGAGCGTTGGTCTGCGGACTGAAGGGTCCCAGGTTCAATTCCAGTCAAGGGCATGTATAATACATTGGCTGTGAGCACATCCCCATTGGGGGTGGTGGTGCAGGAGGCGGCTGGTCGATGTTTCTCTCTCATCGATGTTTCTAGTTCTCTACCCCTCTCCCTTCCTCTCTGTGAAAAATCAATAAAATATATTTAAAAAGTAAATAAATAAAATAAAAATGTTGTAACTTAATGTTGACAATATCCTGTCATACGTAGTGAATAACGAACTACAACGTTCGCTAACGACTGATGACTGTAATTGTGTTGCATTCATTTCCCGCACACGCCTTACGCGCAGGCGCACTCTCTCTCCCCACCGATACAGGCGGAGAATGTCTAGCAGCCGACGGCCCCGGCATTAGCCTCGGACTGGCGTGTTTGGCGTGT